AGAACAGCTTGAGTGCAGCTCAGATGAAGCCAAGGAGAAAATAAGAAGCTTTAAAAGTTCTTTCCCTGCAGTCAGTTCTTGGCTTAACGAAACGATTTCATTTTGTCAGGAAAAAGGGTGAGGATGTTACAGTATCTTTATCAATGCTTTTAGCTCTTATAATAGCGTTCTGCGTTTCTATATTACATTTATATGTTGATTTTTTTTTTCTCCTTTGCTTTGCGTTAGAGTCTAGTCAACGAATCAGCTTCATGTAGAGAACTTAGGTCTAGCATGTGTGCTCATAATTTTACTATCTTCTTTAGGCTACTTTCCTCGAGTTTCTATGTTTTGATCGAGTGCATGTTCAACTTCGCCAAGTCTATTTCTTCTGTCTTTGATTTGAATACAGTCCCATGTGTTTCTTTACATCATAATCTTTCTCATATTGTATGTGACCAACTAGGGAGCTACATTTTCATTATTTCTTTCTGAAGACGGGATTTTCAGCGTTATGGTTATTTGGGTTGCTTCTTTATGAACTACGATTATAATCCAAGAACATTTTGATGTGCAGATACATTCAGACTCTCAAGGGAAGAAGGCGGTTCTTGTCGAAAATTAAATTTGGGAATGCCAAAGAGAAATCTAAGGCTCAAAGGCAAGCTGTAAATTCCATGTGCCAGGTCCGACCTTGTTTCTTCCTTTTCTTTTCCCTGACACTTAATATTATTATGCTGTGACGTTTAATTAGACACTATACCAAATGTATCTATTTAGTATGAGAAATGTAATCTTTTTGCTGTTTGGTTATTGGTGACAGTTTTAAGGTGTTTCATTTCCTTAAAAAGAATTCCAGAACATTTGCTAGACCATATAATTTTACCTGATTGTTGTTTTATTCAGGGATCTGCTGCTGATATAATCAAGATTGCGATGATAAACATATATTCTGCAATTTCTGAGGATGTTGATACTTCAGCATCTAGTTCTTCAACGGAAAAGAAGTTTCACATGTTGAAGGGACGATGCCGAATTCTTCTACAGGTGAGAGTTGTCCACCTTTTTTTTGTTTGACTTTGGTTTCCTTCCATATTTTTGATTTTAAATTCCTCTCCTGCAAAGTGAGAATTTTCATATTGTCTGTAGCTCATTAACGTGGGACATCATAATGCAGGTACATGATGAACTTGTGCTGGAAGTTGATCCTTCTTATGCAAAAGAGGCTGCAATGTTGCTACAATCCAGCATGGAAAATGCGGTTTCACTTCTCGGTATGTTCCTCATATACCATGCTCCTTTTCATGCGATGTATATATGTGTATATATATTATGTTGACTCAATTGATTCTGTTCTGTATTTTCAGTACCTCTTCATGTGAAACTGAAGGTAGGGAAAACATGGGGTTCTTTAGAGCCATTTCAGGCTGATTAAAGACATAGCAAAATTTCGATGTCTTTTAACCTCAATTTTAAGAGCCTCGGATGGTTTAAGCAACTCGCTCAAATGCGTATTTGATGTACCAAAATGTTGCTAAATCCACGGCTTGCCATGCTCTGTTTCATCTTCATGAGGTGATGATGAAGAAAAAAGATTTCAGAGGCTTTTTTCGTTACATTCCCTGCTGGAAGCCTAGCTATGGAGATGGAGAAGAATGGACTCTGAAGGGAATTTGCAAGCAATGGCTCTGAGGGCTCTTCTTATCAGATTCAAAGAGTAACTCGATAATAGTTTAAAGTAAGTTCAACAGTTTTACCACAGTTTTACTTGGAGACAAAGACTTTTAACATGAACAAAATCACAGAAAGTTTAGGCGAGGCATAGTGTAATTTCTCTTCTGACTGTAAGTACAGACAACTTTTTTTTTCTATATGTATATTGGTTGATCATGTACTACTCCAATTGATAGATTATCTATAAGTAGTATGATACAAAATGTATAAGTACTAAATAGTCGAATATACAAAAGACTGACGTCTTTCTCAGAATAAACATTTTAGAACTGTACATGGCAAAATCGTTGGAAAAGTGATCAAAACCTTATTTTTCTTTAACTATGAAACTCGTGCAAATTTCTCAAATATTAAATTCTTCCTTTCTCTTTATACACAATAAGAGAGAAAGTTGTTATTTCGAAAATCTTAAACGATACGACAGCTTCTTCACCAAAAATTTATCTATGTAAACCCTGAGATGCAGCATGTATACCCTGAGATATAGCATTATGTTCTTTCTTCAATTTCAAGGAAACTTCATCAAACTTTGACTTCAACCAGTGCAGCTGGGACTCTGCCTCCACCACGTGCTCCGCGAATATCTTTCTCAATGAAGCAAACTGCCCACGAAAACTAGTTTTTTTGTTAACTCAATCCTGTAAAGCAATTCAAAAAATAGAATAAGATACTTATCCTCTTTTAGCTTACCTGAGAATAAGCAAAAGCTTGAAAACTACCGTTGAAATCAAGAGTCTCCTTGGCTGATTCTCCATTAACAGCTTCAACAACTTTAATGTAGACTTCAATGATGAGTCTGTCCTTCTCCAAAAACCCTTTTTCATGAAACTTGCTTAGGGGCATGGTCTTCCGGAAACCCCACGATGGAGCCTCAGCGCAAAACAAGTTGCTCTCTTTTCCAACTGTGGAACATAAACACACAAAAGAATAGTTGCGCAACTTCTACATCAATCACATTCTTGTGTATTGTTGCTAACCTCTTCAAGATTCAATCATGAGTTTAGGCCTATTGCACAACGTCCTATATAAGCTCAACACAAAAGAGATCTTGCAAATCGGGACTTCATTATGTCTCATTAATTAAGTCAGAAGGAGGACTTGGACTGTCAACTTCTCCCTATGATATGCTCTTTTTCTTTCTCTCCACTTTTTTTTTGTTTTGTTTGGATCCAAACCTAGTCTCTAGGGCATAACAGTTCGTAATTCCAAACACATAAAAAAACAAGGAAAAGAAAGAGTCAAACCATAGAAAAATTACTTGATGACCTGTAGAGCTCTTAGTGGTGTTTTAATGGCCTACCTGGGCCCATTTAAACTCTGCCCATTTAAAGCCCGTCTGTTTAAAGCTTTTTTATATAAAATCCGTTTATGTTTGTATTGGTTTAAGCTAGTTTATTTTAGGTTTCACAAGCCCTTTTAAGTCTTTTTAACATATTTTTTTGAAAACATAAAATCTTTAAAAAATAAAATAACTTTCAGACTTATATCATAAACTCATTCATAGTATCTTCCATGTATATAGCATCTTCTTCATTCATATCCATGAAATCATTTTGAGCATCTAGAATTGTTATGGTGTGAAGAGACTCCAAATCCATTCTGCAATTTCTAAAGATGTTACATAAATAAGCACAAACTTGTAGAAATAAAAACCTGACAACGCTCGACTGAGTGACGGTTCAAACCTAGAATAACCCCGCTCGTGTCAACAATTCTCGAAGACGAGTGAGAAATAGTGAGGGAGGGAGGGAGGGAGGGAGGGAGGGAGGGAGGGAGAGAGGTCCATTAGGATTCGTACTGTTTTTTCTTCTAAATTTACCATTTTACCTCCGAGATGTTAAATTTATTTTCATTTCTAGTCCTTATAAAGCTAGTTTATTTTTTTATGTGTGTGCGGAAGGTAAATAAATGTATTTTGCATAGTTATGAGGTAAATTTCGAAGTTTCTCAATATAACTAGTCATGATTAAAAATAAGTACGGAAATTTGTAGGCGAAATGGGATAACACAACAATGATTGAAAGTGACCATAAGTTAACTCGTAAGTATATATTTCATCAAATTCAAATTGTTATTTTATCACACGTAAGAGCAAAGGTAAAAGATTTGTGAGCTAAATAAGTGGATCTATAGATAAGTTAAGGACGGAACTCTTAGGAATATTGAGGACTGATTTTTAAACGTTTCAAGTATCAATATAATAATCTATTTTGAACTTAATTTGCAGATATATATAAATATATATATATATATATATTTGGATTCATAGAGTTGCAGGGTAAGCTATATCGACAAATTTTACAAAACCTATAAGAATATACTCGAAATCAAAAAGTAAGTATGTGACTTCAACAGTTAGCACAGTTTTACTGAGACAGTGATTTTTTAACATGACCAAAATCATAGAAAGATTAGACACTTTTTACTGTAAAATACATTTTTCTATATGTACTCAAAAGAGTAAATAATCAATAATGTATATTGGTTGATTACGTACTCTAGTTTAGAGGTTTAGATTTGATCATTATCAATGCTTACTATGAAACAAATTTGTATATATATATATATATATATATATATTCGAGGATAGAAAAGACTAACGCCTTTGAGATTAAACATCTTAGGACGACAAAAAAGAAAAAAAGAAACAGCTTAAAATATTATGAGATGTATATAAAAAGATATACGACTCGTGTAAATATTATGCTGATATCTGAAAACTAAAATCAACCATTAAAATTCTTTCAACGGGCACTAGACTCATCCCGTGAATCTGTAAACCACGAGTATAAATACTTTTTCAGAGTTGAAATTGATATATCATTGAAATTCTTTAGTGGAGCCAATTGTCAAAAATGCTCCACAGAAATTTGATAATGGATTTCTGATAAAATCGACCAAATTTCTGACAAAAAAAAAAGAAGAAGATAATTAACTATATTATTACTTTATTATTAAGAACAGGAAGTGGTTGCTCACGAGCGGCGATGCAAACCAGAGTGATTTGCTCGGCTGTCTAATGTGTATAAGATAAACATTTAAAGTTGATTAAAAAAATTCAATAATCACCGGAAAAAGAAAGAAAGAAAAAAAACAGAGGTGTGAAAGCTGAAAGACATTCTCAGCTTCAGAAGCTTACACTGCTCTATACGACAACAAACCTTACTATTATTATGCTGCCAAACCCTCACCTGCTTCCTCCTCCTCCTCCTCCTCCTCTCTCAGATTAAAGTTGAAACCTTCTTGTGGCCTTGTGTGTGTCTGATTCCAAAATCGGAGTCAATTTCATGTTGCTCTCTCCTTCTACCTCGCCGTCTCCGGCGGACTCTCCGCCTGCCACGTCATCACCTCCCCTTCCCCCGCCGTTTATATCTCCTCCGCCGTTGGCTCCACCACCGTCTCTCTTAGCTCCCACCGCTTCCCCACCGCCTCCACCTCCGGTGGAATCTCCACCTTCTCTTCCGTTGGAAGCTCCTCCGGCATCAGCCCCTTCCGGTTCACCGCCATTGCCTTTCCTTCCCTCCAAACCATCTCCGCCGCCTTCTTCACTTCCCTCCGAGTCACCACCGCCACCGGAAAATCCGATTTCTCCACCACCATCTTCACTTCCCTCCGAGACACTACCGCCACCGGGTAAAACGATTCCTCCGCCGCCTCCTTCACTTCCATCCAATTCACTCCCGCCGTTGAATACGGCTTCCCCTCCGCCGCCGTCTCCTCCTCGCCGCCGTGGTCCTAAGCCTTCATTCCCTCCTCCCATCAGTTCCTCTCCACCAAAGGCTTCTCCGACCACGCCGTCTTCACCAGTAAATTCTCCTCCACCTAAACCACCGCTCTCAGCGACGCCATTTCCCACTTCATCCACCTCTCCGCCGAAGAACTCGCCGGCATCAACTCTTCCTTTCTTTGGGCCGGTGGGCCCACAACCGGATAAGCCAGATGGGACAGTAGCACCACCTATTGGGCCCGTTATAGAGCCCACAACGAGTCCCGGCGAATCAATCTCCCCGGGAACGCCACAGCCACTGGTACCCAAGAGTCTTCCTGAGACGACGTCGTATCACCGATCTTCCGCCGGATTCTTATTCGGCGGCGTAATCGTTGGAGCTCTTCTGCTTGTTCTGCTAGGTCTTCTCTTTGTCTTTTACAGAGCTACAAGAAACAGAAATAACAGCTCTCGTCAACATCAATCAAAATCTCCATCGAAAGGTATGAATTCAAATTTGTTGCCACAAAGTGTTTGCCTTTTACGAATTCAAATTTGTTGGTCTGATTCCAATGTGCGAATTCACACTGAGCATACACAAACTTGGAGACTTTGGTTTCAGATTGTCCTAAGAGAATGAAATGTAATAACAAATAGCCTCTTCTTGACTGGATCAGTTCAACATCATGGACGCAGTAATGTCGAACCAAACCAGGAGAATGTTATCACGATACCACCTCAAGTCCATGCTACACCACCAAAATATTCATCGAGCGTAAGCAACGGTACAAAGGAGAAGAATGCTGTTGCGATGAACAACATTACGATGTCATCTGGAATGTTCACATACGAAGAACTGTTAGAGGCAACGTGTGGATTTTCAGAGGCAAACCTTTTGGGAGAAGGTGGATTCGGTTACGTTCACAAGGGAGTGCTGAAAAACGGGAGAGAAGTTGCGGTGAAGCAGCTCAAGATCGGGAGCTATCAAGGGGAAAGAGAATTCCAAGCTGAAGTTGACACAATCAGTAGAGTTCATCATAAACACCTCGTTTCCTTGGTCGGTTATTGCATTAACGGAGACAAAAGACTCTTGATTTACGAATTTGTTCCTAAGGATACATTGGAGTTCCACTTGCATGGTACAGTTTATATAATGTTTGATCCTTTTGAGGATTTGATTTTGTCTTTTTAACTTCATGTTGTTGAGTATTATGAGAACATGTGTTGTAGGGAACAGAGGAAGTGTGTTGGAGTGGGAAATGAGGCTCAGGATTGCTGTAGGAGCAGCAAAAGGATTAGCATACCTTCATGAGGATTGTGAGTTTGTTTCTCCTGATCATTTGGAACCAGAATGAGTAGCCTTATCGGTTTTTCGAAGCTCTTATTGATTTCTCGTGTTTGAAATTGCAGGCAGTCCAACTATAATCCACCGTGATATCAAAGCAGCTAATATCCTTCTAGATTCCAAATATGAGGCAAAGGTGATTTGCTCTTTAACCATAAATAAACTGCTATGAAGTTTCAATTTTTAAGTCTGGTTTTTATGGTAAAACCCCCACCAGAAATTTCGGTGCCAATGAAGTTTCATGAATTTAAGTTTAAAGATCTACACGACCCACTTCGGGGATAGACTTCGTTTATTTTCATACCATTTGAGTTCATATCATACCACTTGAATGCCTGCATATCTGAAGAGTTTGCTTCTTTCAGGTCTCTGACTTTGGACTAGCCAAGTTCTTTTCAGACACCAATTCGTCAGTCACTCATATCTCTACTCGAGTGGTAGGAACTTTCGGGTAAAGCACCATCCACGCTTAAATATTCTTTCGTTTTGATTTAAAGATTTTATTTTCCGTTTTCAAGCTCTCTTCCTTCGTGTATTATGTATGGTAAATACAGAAGAAATGAGTTATTGATCACGAATCATTTGAACAGATACATGGCTCCAGAGTACGCGTCTAGTGGTAAAGTAACTGATAAATCAGATGTATATTCCTATGGGGTCGTGCTTCTAGAACTCATCACCGGACGTCCATCAATCTTCCCCAGAGATCCTACCACAAACCAGAGTTTAGTTGACTGGGTTAGTCAATTCACGTAATGATGATGATTATTTCCAATAGAGATATTAGAGGGGAAAGTAAACTCCAAATAACTGCAAGCTTGAAAGTTCATCACATAGTGAATTTTTGATCTATCCTCAGGCAAGGCCATTGCTTGCGAAAGCGATATCTGGAGAAAGTTTTGAGCTTGTTGTAGACCCGAGGTTGGAGAAGAATTACGATACAACTCAAATGGCAAACATGGCCGCTTGTGCTGCTGCTTGCATACGCCAATCATCTTGGCTTCGGCCCCGAATGAGCCAGGTTTGTCTTTTAATTCCTAAACATCAACATCATGACAATGTGTCAAAGTCCCTATATCCGAAATGAACAGGTCTAATATATATGCTATTATTATTATCCTAGGTGATCCGTGCTCTTGAAGGCGAGGTGGCACTTAGAAATGTCGAAGAGACGTATAGCTCTTCTGAAAACCCGAATGGCATCCCTCTACGGTATGGAACAAGTAAGAGGAGATTCAACACGGATTCAAGCGATGACTACACTTCAGAGTATGGGATCAATCCTTCTCAGTCGAGCAGTGAGCATTAGTCTACCAAGTTCTATGGGGTAATAAGTTTCGCCACAACCATTGGGCCTATAGGATGCAGTCATCTTGGGTTGGCTAAAAATAGCCTTCCTCATTCATTTTGTAGCTATTGATTAACACCTGTGAAGGGTTCTGGAAAACACAGCTTGTGTTCTCGTGAATTTTAAAATTTGGGGATATCTTTTGTATAAATATGCTGTAACCTATGGGTACGAATCATTATTATGATTGTGGAAACAGATAATGAATTACTCGAGTAAATGAATAGCAATATTACAATATACTTCTGACATATCATAGTACATTACTATATACAATATATTATATTACATGTAATATTTTACAAATATAATTAAGAGTGTATCTATATATAACCATATTATATATTTTCTTGAACAAAAATTAAATCTGAAAGTATATAGGATATATAATCTCATACATATAAACGATTTTCAACTCATGTTTTAAAGTTTTAAACATATCCACAATACTACTACGTACATACAGAAAGACGATGAGAAAAATGAGCCAAGTGAATTTTTAAAGAAGATTTCTTTTCTAAAAATAAAACTGATCCCGTCGACATCGTCAACTTGGCTCGTTAAACTCGTTCAATTTTACAAAAGTATATATTCCAAAAATAGTTTTATCTATTTTTTTTTTTTTTAATAATTTTAATATTATATTAATAAACCGGATTACAAACCCGAACTAAACCCGAATGGGTCTGAAAAATCGGGCTAACCAGAAATAAAAGAAATTGAAAAGAGCGAACCAAACCGAAGAAACCAAACCAGAATCAAACCAAACGATTGAAAACCCTAAAATAACGCGTCCGCCGTTAGGAAGAACTCTCGCCGTCGACTCTCCCCTCCGCCCGATCAGGACCTCCGACGAAAGGCACCAGAACAGAAAACCTCCGAAGCAGCCAGGAACCTTCGATCTAACCCAGAACGGTCTAGTATCACCGTAAGAGTTTTGGGGAAACTGAGGCTACCACAAACTCTCGAACTCCGACGAAGACGAAGACGCCGCGCAGCTCACCCCAACCACAGATGAGAGGGGTAAGGTGGGAAGGAGTCAAGCCGGGAAAGACCTGCCGCTTTGCTTTGCCACTGTCCCCGGGCGGCTCCGCTACCACAGTCAGCCACATCCGACAAAAACCTCCGCAAACCCACTCACCCAACTCTGACCCAAGGCCAAGGCTTCGCCACACCGACGCGTCAAACACCAGCCACCACCGCCTGAACAAACGAGTAGGATTCCGTCACCGGACCACGTCTTCAAAGCCCAGATCTGGAACACACTAGCCGCCGCATACGGGAGCCAGATTCACCTTCGTCACTCAGATCTCTTCCTAGAATCGCCGGAGAAACCCTCTTTCCCACGATTGAAGAGCAGACGGGGATCAAAAGAAGAAGAAAAATGCGGGCTCCCTCACAGCGCCGGCATCACCGGAGGGAACCGCTGAGAAACTCGACGAAGAAGAGACTGAGAAGAAGGGAGAGAAAAAAAACTTGTCTAGTATTTTTAAACGTCAGCTAATTAAATATTAGTTTTTTTTTTTTTTTAAATCTATTTTTACTGTGATTTAGGTATACTTAGTACAAAGAAATCAAATTCTTATTATGAGAGAAAGACAAACAATAGCCTTCTGCAAGTAATAGAGATAAGGGATTGTTATCATTTTTTGTGAATCATGAGATCTGCTACTTGGTTTATAGTTTTTTGTGTTCTCATCTTTCTCGTTCTCAACGATGGTAAGGGTAATATATTCATTTTCTTTGATATTGCTTCGTTACGTGTGGAATATATTATATATATATATATAACTTTTTAAAAAAACGAAAACACTAATATTGTTACTAGTCGAAAGATTCAACGTTGTGATAAAAAACACAAAAATGTTGTCCTAGAACAGGGTTTAGCTTTGATTTTGTTACACTGCAATTGTTTATCTAAAGATCTTCAACAACCAATTAACAAAAATAAAAATTGTGTGTGGTTAATGTAAAATAATAGAAGTGGAAGCAGCGGATCCGTGTACAAGAATAGAAGATATCGAAGGAAACTGCAACGTTAACGGAGAGAAAGAATGCATGAAATTCATGACGAATAAATACAAGACAAGATTTCTTAGTTGCGCATGTAACAACATTTACATGTTACAGAAGACCAAGCGGTTTTGCGAATGCAAATATCCCTGTGGAAATCAAAACAATACCCCATAATTTACATTTCTTTACTAATTTAAAACAAGAGAAGTTGTGAAAGTTTGTAGTGTTGAGATGACGACACACAATCACACAAATAAGTTATGTTAGTGTATTGTATTTTTTCATATATATTTTAAATAAAGTTAAGAGTTCATAATTCATAAGTAGTATGAGTTTCTCAATCAAATTTATTTCTTATGTAATGTAATGATCCAAATATTAATGTTTGTTATTAGATTTACTTATTATATTTACTATAGTTTTTTCATAACTATTATGCATATGGTTATTATAGAGTAAGTTTTCCAATTGTAAATTACAGTAAGGGTAAATTATGTAATGTAGTAAAATCCTAGGGTATTACGAAATAATAATTTGAAATAAAGGATTAAAGGCGAAAAACAAAATAGATATAATGGCAACTAACTCCAAAAATTCAGGCGAAAATGGAAGCTGTCTCTCACTAAACCCTAGTACCCTTCTCTGCTTCCCTCTCACCTCCTCCTCTCTCGGCCTATCGAACCAGTGAACAAATATGTCGATTCCTTGTCTAACGGAAGAGACGGCCAAAACGGTTCTGCGCCAGGTCCAAATCTCTCTTCTTCCTCTTTCTACTCACTAGTTTTGTTGAATTGAATTGAATTGATTTAATTATGTTCTGATATTGGTATCGATTTTTCAGGTGGAGTTCTACTTCAGTGATAGTAATCTCCCCATTGATGATTTCCTCAAGAAGGCGGTCACAGAGAGTGAAGATGGCTGTAAGTTCCTAACTTTCGAATCAATTCAATCGCTTTGTTTTTGTTTTTTGTTATTGCGAATTTATGATTTCTTATCCTTCTTCTTCTTCCTGTGTCGATGTTTGGTTTTTGAAAACAGTGGTTAGTTTGGCGTTGATATGTTCCTTCAGTAAGATGAGAGTATATTTGAAGTTGGGTGATTCCAAAGGAGATGAGATTCCTGAAGATACGATCAAAGCTGTTGCTGATACTCTTCGAACCTCTTCAGCTCTCAAGGTTTCAGAAGATGGTGAGTCTCTCTTTAATCTTATAAGTGCATGATAGAATCAAATTAATCAATTGACCACTGCTGATTCAAACGAGGTGGTGACTTCGTTGTGTTAGAGTTTCAAATATATGTTAAGTGTTAGCTACATTGAGACCTGTCTTTTATATTCGGAATTTACAGTTGTTGTTAATATAATCGTGCCCACTTTATTAATCACTTTTGTTTTTGTTTTTGCTTACACAGGGAAAAGGGTAGGTAGGAGTACAGAATTGTTGAAGCTAGAAGATTTGATTGAAAAACTTAATGCTAGAACAGTGGCTGCTTCACCATTCTCGTATGATGTTAAAAGGGAAGACGTGGAAGCCTTTTTCAGTCAGTATGGACAGGTTATCCACTATCAATTGAGTTATAAGTGTTTCGTCATAATTCGAATTTGGTGAAAATACTAATACTTTGATTAACTGGTTGTACAAGTGTGTTGAGATAAGTATGTGTTTTCCTATCAGGTTAATAGTGTGAGGATGCCTCGTCATGTAGCAGAGGCAAGAATATTCTGTGGAGTTGCCTTGGTTGAATTCCCTACAGAAGAGGATGCCCAAAATGTTATGAAGCAAAATTTGGTCTTTGCTGGTCTCGAGCTGGAGCTGAAACCAAAGTAATCCTAATTTTGCATGAGAACATGTCTTTTTTGCTGTCTATTAATTGTTTGGATCCCTTACCTAAAGATGATATATTTTTTTTACTTCAGGAAAGAGTTTGATGATGAAAGGGAAAAGGATGAAGAAAAGTTTGCTGATTACCGTTCTCAAAAGAGTTCTACAAATCAGAAGAACGGTTCTGATCATAAGAACAGTTCTGATTATGAGGCAAGGTAGGGTTTTGAGTATTGCTAGAAAAATTCTCATCTTTTGTTGCTATTAATTTTCTTCTGATCATGGCTATTTTATAATATTGTAGTTATCCCAAGGGTTTAATCATTTCATTCACTCTCAAGCGCTCAGCTGAAGAGGCTACCGCGAATCAAAACAGTTCTGAGGAGCCAACCGATAAGACAATGGATGAAAGTGAATCAAAACGAGCAGATAATCCTGATGCTGATAAAGAAAACACTGATCAAGTTCAGGGCCAAGGAACAGAGGGTGAAGATGTAGAGGAGTCTTCTGATTCTCCTGCTAAAAATGGAGAGAGAGAAGAAAAGGGTGCTCTAGCTACCCATAAAGATAATAATGATGTTGTCTTGCGTGAAGATCTTAAGGCAGTTTTTGGAAAATTTGGTGATGTCAAGGTACATATATCCGGTTTGATATCTCATATCACATCCTATTATATTACTGTTGATTGTATGCTCTCCTTTGTTTTCTGCTGGCCATGGTCATGATTTACTGGCTAATATTCCTTTTTTTAGCCGTTTGCTATTTGTCAATCCATTTTATTATATAGTTGTATTAATTATTGTTTCTTTTCACTGTGAAGTTTGTGGATTTCAAAATGGGAGCGGAGACGGGATACCTTAGGTTTGATGAACCAGAAGCATCTCAGAAAGCCCGTGCAGCAGCAGTATTAGCCAAAGAAGGTGGACTAGCCGTGAAGAATTTTATCGCTGTCCTTGAACCTGTAACCGGTAAAAACAAACTTTTTACTTCCATCTTATCTTTAACTATACTTGTTCTGCTTGTGTTAAATGGATATATCATGGTGTCAGGCGAAGCTGAAAAGGAGTACTGGGGTCTCCTTCGCAGCAAAGATCGGTTTGACAAAGGTGGCCGTGGAGGAAGGTGAGTACATGTTTTGGTATTCGAATACGTTAGGTTTGAAACTATATTTATTTTGGCTCGGTTTTGTTGGATAAAACCCAATAAATAATGGATATTATATACTTATATGACTTGTTCGATTCAGTTGCGGTAAGTTTGGTCTCTTTCTTATAAAAGTTTGACTCGGTTTTGGTTTCTGAGAAATATCGGGTTGTGGTCTATGGCAGGGGAGGAAAACGAGGAGGGAGGTTTGGGCGAAAGAGGGGATCTGATTCCCCGAGTGGTCGCTGGAACAAAGCTCAGAAGGTGGAAGCATAATCACACACACACTTTCTATCTGCTCTGTCTCTCTTTAGCTCGTGACTTGTTGCTTCTGCTTTTAATATATCTCTAGTTGCGACTTTATTTTATTTTATGTATACCTTTATCATCTTCTTGCGACTCCTGTGATGTTATAACTAGAAATCAGCAAGCAAGTTATAGTAGTTGCTGGTTTTTGGCAAATTTTGGTTTAGATCATATTTGGTTTCGTTTTCACTATTTTTTTTTTTTTAAAGGAAGGAGCAGTTGTAGCTCTCTTCTTTTGTTATGATTCTTTCCTTGTCATGTTTTTAAGATCTATCTTATGTTTTTTTTTGGAAAGTTTATTTAACACTAATAAAGAGAGAATCTAAAACTATGTACAGAAACAGAAAGTATTCCAGTACACCTAGACAAAATTCTTCCTGAATTCACTGAGATAATTTAATTAATTTTGTAATAAATTTTGATTTCATGGTGTCTTTTCGTTTGACTTTGTCCACATTTTTAGGGGTTTTATGAGGCTTCTTTTCATTTTGACATGAAAGGAGGAACAGAATAGCTGTAATCCAAAAACATTACTGGCAGATAAAGAAAAACTACAAAATGTTGTCTCACCTAAACAATCTGAATTGAAAATAAGCTTCATTTTCATTGTTTTGAACTGAAAAAGCATTTGCTAATGAATGCCTAATGCTTATTTGAATGTTTTACCGTGGAAACAAAAAGAGCCGACGCAGATAAAGAATCTCGGGAAAAAAAACGTATTGTAAAGAAAAGGTAGAAAAATTAATTAACATATAGGCGTGGAACTTTAATGGAGACTAGATTCATAGCTTGAAAATGAACGGCTGAGATCATCTTTCCCTATTGTTTGATCTCACTTCGAAAGTGTACCCAATTCCGCCTCTCCATGTTTGAATACCTCTCTCTCTCTCTCTCTCTCTCTCTCTATTTCGATTTGTTTTCTTCTTCTTCTTCTTCGTCTGAATTCAGCGTCTTAATTTCATAGATTATTTTCTGGATTTCGTGGATCTGCTACAGTGAGCGTTACAGGTCGTATGTACGTTCCCGTATTCTGGATTATTGATTCGTATGACCATGTCTCCGTCTTCTTAAGGTCAAATTATTTTGGTTAGTTTTCCTCAGACTTCTTCCTGATTTTTTTGAACCAGCATCAAAATCTACTCTTTTGAAACTTCTCTTACTTTTGTTTAAAATCACACTGCCATTTCGATAAGCCAGATTTTGTTTAGAGAAAGTTTGGAGCTTTTTGTTTTTTGTTCGACATCCATGTTTCTGAAACTCATTCGAGTTCATATCTTAATTTTTTTTGGGGACCAAATCTCATATTCTAAAGCTAATATCTTAAGTTTGGAGCCTTCTTCATTTCTAATTTTCTAGCAATTCTTCGCCTTTTTGTCTTTAGATTTCTGGAAAAATGTTAACTCTTTTGCTAAGTACTGACTCTGTAAGCTTATGATGATTGTTAGTCCGACTGTGTTTAAGTTTATGGTTTGTTTCAGATTGTAGGCACTGTGCTAGGCTTATGATGATTTGTTAGACACACCAAAGAAACCGGCTTTTGGGTATGATATACTGCTTCTCTTGCTAAGTATGAAGCGTGTTATGAAAGCCCCTAATATTCCAGAAGAAAATTTCCAAAGCAATCAGAAAGGCAAACACGGGTATGCTTCAGTTCTCACTTGTTTTCTACTGTCAGTTTTCAGCGTTGAGGTTTATATTGCTTGTAGCACCAAAGTTTGCATTCAACAAGACATTCTCAGGTTAACGTTGCAAGCTCTTTGTGATGTGTAAAATACTTTCATAGGAGGACATGTGGCCCTGCAAGACGATCCACCAAAGGACAATGGACGGCCGAAGAGGTGGGTTCCTGTCTTTTCTTTTTTTGCTGTCTATCTGATTCTTGTATTCTTCATTTATCCTCAGCCAGTCTAGTTTTCAACCAGAAATGTATCCTGGAACAATGGCTCGACTGTTGTCAATTGGTTGTATCACACCTTGTACAGTTCGATTTATCTAGTTGGCATTAGCTATCCTTTCCAGGTACTGAAGATTTGTCTCTATGAAATTTTCTGTTAGATTAATTATGTTTTTCTTGGATCAGGACGAAGTCTTGTGCAAAGCTGTTGAGCGTTTTCAAGGAAAGAACTGGAAGAAGATAGGTAAGTCAAGTTCCTTCTTGTCTTAGTTTAGTTTTCCAACGTATTTGAAGATCATAGCAATACTCAATTTTAACAGCCGCATGTATTTGTAGTCTTTTATAAGAATGGTGAAAGCAATGTATGATTTTATTTATTTCATCTTTTCAGCTGAATGTTTTCCGGATCGGACTGATGTCCAGTGTCTTCATAGATGGCAAAAGGTCTTGAACCCAGAGCTTGTGAAAGGGCCGTGGTCAAAAGAGGTGATTTTTCTAACTGTGGTGAATTGCTTTATATGCTTTATTCAGCTTTGCCCAGCGTGGTGGTCGTTTGAGTGTCGTACATGTTAATATCTGTAATGTGTTTCATGACTTCTTAACTTTCTTTACTTTCGAAGGAGGATGCGACAATAATTGCTCTGGTAGAAAAATATGGGCCAAAGAAATGGTCTACTATTTCTCAGCATTTACCTGGGCGCATAGGAAAGCAATGTAGGGAAAGGTATACGCATAATCTCCACTTCTTTTGCCAATAAAATGAGTTTTTTTTTACTACTCTTCTTACTTTGTGTTGTGCTTGAATACACATGAACAATATTGTGGATGATGTAGGTGGCATAACCATCTTAACCCTGGCATTAATAAAAATGCATGGACCCAGGAAGAGGAACTGATTCTTATTCGTGAACATCAAATTTATGGGAATAAATGGGCAGAGCTAATGAAATTTTTGCCAGGAAGGTAAATATGTCTTTGCGATGTGTCCTAGTGTCACAGAATTCGTTTAACATGTGTCCTGAAAATTTGGTGGTCTCTTATGCTTATTCCCATGGAAGTACAGGTTTTGCTGATGATTATGGTCTATCTTTCCTTCTTTATTTATATGCTTATTTGTTCTTATGTTCCATAGGTCAGATAATTCAATAAAAAATCACTGGAACAGCTCAGTGAAGAAGAAGTTGGAATCCTACTATGCATCAGGTCTTTTAGATCAGTCTCAAAGCTCGCCACTCATTGCCCTTCAGAACAAATCTATCGCTTCATCTTCCTCGTGGATGCACAGCAGTGGAGATGAAGGCAATTTCCAGCCAGGGGCTGATGCTGAAGAATCAGAATGCAGCCAAGCTTCAACTGTTTTCAGTTGTTCAGTGTCGACCAATGATTTACTAGATGAGGTTAAACCTGCAAATCAAGAATTCTACATTCCTGAATTGCCTTCAGGAATAGAGCAGCAAATCTCAAACTCTGCATCTCATGCAGAATCATACTACCCTTCCTTTGAAGATGCCAAAATTGTTGTCCCCGAAATTTCTTGTGAAGCAGAAACCTCAAAGAAGTTTCAGAATCATTACTGTTCTCACGAGGTTAGAACTACCACAGATACAGCGGATCAATTGCAGGGTGTGTCTAATGATTCTAAACAGGACCTCAATCTAGACTGTCCTCAGTTATTGACCAATAACATGGACGTGGATGGAAAAAATGAAGCACCCCAAGCTTTTCAAAGTTCAGTCAGATTAAAGGATCAACCTTCTTTGCCAAACTCGGACACAGATATTCATCCACAAGCTCAAACTTTGATCACGGATGAGGAGTGCTGTAGGGTTCTTTTCCCAAATACCGAGAAAGATAGCGGTATATCTACTGGTGAGCAAGGTCATAACATGGTTGACCCTCAAAAGGGCAAAGGATCTCTTTGTTCCCGGTCTGCAGAAACCCATGTTCATGAAACTGGAAACATTCCAGCTTTATCCTGGCATCCTTCGAATTCCGAGGGCCTGGCGGATCATAATTGTGTTCGTTTGTTGTATTCAGCTGTGAAGGACTCACGTTCACTCCGTAATGATTCTACTGATCCTATTCAAGGTTGTCACCTTCTTGAAGCTACTGCATTAGATTGTAAAACTGATACAAATGACAATTTCATCGACACTGATGGGCGTGTAATTTCCCGTGGCAATGATGATAATGATGGTATCCAACAGCAGGAGCTGGCATATATTCCCAAGGATTCTTTGAAGCTAGTACCTTTGAATAGTTTTTCATCTCCTTCTAGAGTGAACAAGGGTTATTTTCCGATTGGCGATAAGCCAGCTGAAAAAGACAAAGGATCTCTTTGTTATGAACCTCCACGTTTTCCGAGTGCAGATATTCCTTTCTTCAGCTGTGATCTTGCACCATCAAATAGTGACTTACGGCAAGAGTACAGTCCCTTTGGTATCCGCCAATTGATGATTTCTTCGATGAATTGTACAACTCCGTTAAGGTTATGGGATTCACCGTGTCAGGATAAGAGCCCTGATGTCATGCTTAAAGATGCTGCAAAATGTTTTAGTGGTGCACCATCCATCTTAAAGAAGCGGCATCAGGACTTGTTGTCACCCGTGCTTGATAGAAGAAAAGATAAAAGGCTTAAAAGAGCTGAGGCTTCCTCCTTGGCTAAAGATTTTTCACGCTTAGATGTTATGCTTGATGATGGAGGTGATTGCAAGTCCTCTCGTCTGTTAAAATTTCCTGACAATGAAAATAGATGTTCCTCCCCTTCCGAAGCAAAATATAATAAGGATGCTTCAGGTTGGTCATATCAAGAAATGATACCTATAGGTGAAGACCCAAAGGAAACCTTGGAGTCAGGAAGAGTGACTTCTATGAAAAACGAAAAGGGATGTAGTGATGACGGTGGGGCTTCAGATAAAATTGTAAGTCCGTCTTTTTCTCTATATGCTGCACTTTCTGGCAATTTGTTGAGTCTAATTGTGAACTTCTCGTTGCTTAACACATCAATCTAGTTTATTGAAATCTCTTCTTGTTGGAATGTGTCATTCTAGTCTGCTCAAATACATTGCATGTAGTTATATGAGCTTCCTTTGTCAAGGATCAATGTTTTATCATTGGTGCTAATTCTCCAGTAATGTAAACTTGAGCTTTAATCTCTAGATCTCTTGCTTATTTTTTTGCACCAGGACCAAGATACTTGTAGAAGTTTGGCTGATCATAATGATGCTGAGATGCAACTGAGTTCTCCTGATAAAACTGGATCTAGACCAGATAACAAAGTGAATACAAGTGCGAAAAATCCGTCGAACCAACAGAAAAAGTCATTAGGTACTACTATTCCAAATGGAGAAATCTTATCAGAACCTCCATGCACTGCAGACTCTATTCCTTTATCAGCGATTGCAGGAAATAAAACCAACACTGCAGAGAGTAGTTTTGATATTGAAAACTTCAGCATGTAAGTTTTACTTTTCCTCTGTATGTGTGTGATACCTGACTTTTCCATTTTTCTAATCTAATTTGTTTTGGTTCCAGATTTGATGGAACTCCGTTCAAAAAACTCCTTGATTCCCCATCACCATGGAAATCCCCTTTACTCTTTGGTTCTTTCTTGCAAAGTCCCAAGTTGCCTCCAGAAATTACATTTGAGGTAATGAGAGATGGAATAACTATGAATGAAACTAGTTTCTGGATAGTCTACTTTTTTGTTGTAGATTGAAGCGCCTGTTGATAGACAAAATATTCTTTGTGGTTATTCTTAAATTTCCAGGATATTGGGTGCTTTATGAGTCCGGGAGAGAGAAGTTATGATGCCATAGGACTGATGAAGCATTTGAGTGAACACACAGCTACGGCGTATGCAGATGCTCTGGAAGTTTTGGGTAATGACACGCCTGAATCGATACTTAAGAAGAGACAACTGAACAAATCTATTCAAGGGAAAGAAAATCAGCACTGGCCTCACGATCAGCTGGAAAACCGTTCCCAGGTAGCAGCTTCAACTGTCACATAATATATCTTACAAACACCTTTACAGACACCATAAAAGAGACTTGATCAACGAGAGGAATCTCTAAACTCTCGACCATTGCTTAAACCAATACCCTAGGAAAATTCAGAATCCCCCGTCAGCTCTCAGCTAACCATAAAGTCTGTTTTCAGAGCTGGCAAAGCCACAATTCACTGCTCAACCCCTTGGCTAGTTACAAGAAAACCTTATCAACTCTCTTCTTCTGTTCTTGGTCTAGTTCAGTGTTGAAATTGAATCTTGAACTTGGTAAAAATAAGTGGAATTAACAACAGTTTAGTTTATAACGCTTACAAAAAATGTGTGGAAATGCAGGTGGAGCGTCGCGCCTTGGACTTCAGCGATTGCGGGACACCAGGGAAAGCAAATGTATCCTCGGTTTCTCCAGGCGGCTACTCGAGCCCATCATCTTACCTTTTGAAGAGTTGCAGATAGTAAAGGCTGCTTTTGTTCATAAGAGCTCTGAAGGGATTTATTCTCGCCTTCAAATTTTTTTTGATCCCTAATATTTGTATGTCATATTTCCATTCCCACCTTCTGTCTTAAAATGTGTAGATCTTTCAGCTCTGGACATGATACAATTGATTAAATAGAACAAATGTTTACTTGTTCTCAAGAAATTTTTCTTTACTTTCAATATTTCCATCAATGAGTTTCAAATATACAAAAAAGAGGTGATTTCAGTATCATTTGGGTCAAGTATCAACTATGGAGGAATGCTCAAAAAACAGAACCAAACCCAATTTTGATTCCACTGTATGTATATCTACAACCGGGACAGTCCTAACAGGTATGATTTATCTTCCGGATCCAATCTTCTCATGATCCGTCCATAAAACAGCATCAGCAAAAAAAAGCAGAGACATGAGAGGAACCCGATATGCAACAATTTGGTGAGCCCAATCTCTGAAGCAACCCATCTTTGGAGGTTTACATAAGTGTCATACTTCAAATTCTGCTTTCCAAGAATCAAGATCTTTGCCTACTAGAAAGTGTCGCATGAGTTACATCGGGCTCTTCATTGTAAAACTCGGGTTCGTCTTCTTCATCAGATGATAACAAAGATGGACCCATCCATGCTTTAAACCCCTCGTTCACTCGTCTTTCCACATCTGGTGTGAATTCCAAAGGATTGGCTTCGAGCATCTCCAAGCCCTGATGGCTTCTGTTCCCAAACTCTCCTTGGTCAATAGCTAAAGCAGCTCTTCTTCTAAGGGAGAAAGCAGTTCCAGCATACAAGATTACCAAACCCCATGAAGATATCTCATAGCACCAAAACAATGGCACAGAACAACTGCTTCCTAGTGTCAGGAGGCTGGAGCCGAGAAATATAGCGAGGAGACCATATATGATAGCAAACACAACATTTAGAATTGACAAGCAACGAACCCCACCTGTGAATTCATCAGACAGGATAAAAAAGATCAATAACCTATTTGAGGTCCAAGCCTAGTGATACGAAACTCTGAAGAGGCCAGATTCCCAAAGGTGGAAACATCATAACTAATAGCAGATAAAAAAGATTATACACATAAAAGTTTACGAGAAAAAATTTGGTACCGAGAAGGAATACATCTTAAATACAAAATTATATTTGGAAAGCCGAATACAGCTCAATGAGAGAGAAGAAAGTATACCTCTTCTTGAAGCACAGTAGTTATTTTCAACGACATTTAGAAACCCATGACGGTGAGGAGCGGAATAAGCCACAAAAATTCCTGCAGTATTGCAACAACATAACGAAAAAAATAAGAAGAAGACATACCAGGCCTTCATGAGAAAACATTGAAGATTAGCCATTGAGGATAATAAAGCATTTAACAACGTTTCGATGTTGTTAGAGTCACTTCTTGAAGGACTGAATAAAAAGAGATATAGGACTCGACTCTAGAAGTTAAACATATTTGGCAACATCCAACAATCAAATTCTGGTGGTCAGAAAAGCTGGCTCAATTTGAGTAAAATCTCTTATCATTCAACTGAAGAGTAAGAGCCCGAGTTAGACCTAAGTGATAAGGGCTGCTATGTGATAAATCAAGCCTGTAAAAACAGTTGTCTTACTTAGCTTCACTAAACCTCTTTACTCTAATATATACGAGGAGACAGAAAGCTCTAAAGAGAAGAAACTACACCCCACAAGTTTCCTTACATAGAAAATCTAATATGACCAAATCTAGGAGAGAGTTTAACAAGATTTATCAAAGTCTAGTGATTTCTAGAAACAACAATGATTCAGGTCTTGAGGACGCTCACCTGCTACAAGATAAACGGATGATACAAGGAAGATTATTGTCGACGGAACGAAAACGACCATCCAGTAGAAATCCACAGTTTCTTGATCCGTCAAGTAAAAAGCACCCGGAAACAGATCGGAGTCACGAGCTTTGCCATAGATAGGCAAAGGCTGTAGCTTCCTGTCGCTGCAGAATGGCCTCCTCAGAACATTCGAAGGAAACACAATTTTCAAGCTGACGATAGTGCAAGTGAAGATGACAAAGCAAAGGAAAGCAACGATCGACATTAGTGTCGGCCTCTGGAGCTTAATCCACGCTCTATCTTCCTCCCTAAGGCTCTCGTACTCTTGTTTTGGCATAAACGCCTGACGCAGAGCGTCTCCGATGATCGCCATTGAAGGATGGGAGAGAGAAACTAAAAAAGCCCTAATCGACAGCCGAATAAAATCCTTTCAACAAGCTGTTTCGCTGATTCCGGAAGAAATGAAGCTACTTTCGAAACTGATCAGAAACCCTAGATCTAAAAGCTTGAACAAGCATGAAGAAGAATCAATAGAATAGAGTTTGAGAAATGAGGAAAAAGAAAACAAGGAAGAAGAAGAAGGTGATGATGCAGAAACAAATAGGCGCGTGTAAAGCGATACGGCAACTGCCGTCGGGCGTGCAAAATAATTACAGATAGACCCCAACTTTACTCGAAAGTCAAAAACTTCCAACTTATCCAAAATGTAGTAAATAGCCACAAACCAAAATCAGACTGTAACAAGAGTACAAGAGTTTAGAAACTTAACCACAATGAACCATATTGAGAATAGTAATGAAAATGGTTTCAAACAAACTTCTTCAAAACATTTATCTTCAAGTTGTAGGTCCATTGGCAGAATTGCTCGATGACATTGTTTCTAACCATATTTTTATAAGATATTGTACAACTTATTAAACACACTTAGTATTACAATAATTTATTTAACACAACTCATGATTATCACAAACAACTAAACTTATGCAATACACTCATGGTTATAACTTATTCAAAACATAATAATTTCTATTAAGATTTGGTTCTTCACTGAATCATGCACAAAAATGGTTACTGTAGACGGGTACTGATCCATGATATCCAAAGACAATCAGCTTCTGAAAAAACTAAACAAGATAAGCGTTGGACCAATAATTGGGTTAGTTTCCTAATTAATCCACTGATCGGACTTGAATCGGCTATTAACATATTGTAATATTAAAGTAGTGTGTGTAACTAGTTGAGACTACCAATCAACACTTTAGATATATATGGTTTTCTTTAAGTTTCAAAAGTAAGTTCTGTTTCATGGCTTCTAAATTTAATATGAAAAAATTAGTTTTGAATGAGATTATTATTTAGCTCCCAAAAAAGTACAGTAAAACCTCTATAAATTAATAATGTTGAGACTATAATATTTTATTAATTTATCATGATATTAATTTATCTATAAGTTAATAATTATTCATTTATAGAGAAAATTTGCTTTCCTCATATAATTTTCTAAAAATTGCTTTGGAATAATCTTATATTTTAAAATTTCAACAAATCTCATAATATAAATTATGCTCAACAATCATTATTATCGCAATAAAATAGTTTTTAACACCATATTGAATTGTCCGTATAAAAATATACATGTTCATAAGTTTAAAATTTATAAAAAACCATGGCTACATTTAAAAACATTTATAGGTAAGAAAATTAATTATCACATCAAAAAATCATCATAAATTTCGAATGTATATAGTAAAACAGCAATAAAAACTACTGATATAATAATTAGAGAGATGAAAACCAATGAAATTTTAACTTTAAGTAAAAATAAACACATTAGTCACATTTTAAAATATTCTATTTACATACATTTTCATATATTTATATAATTATTAATTTATAGTTTTGTTGGGACCATATATTTAGATAAAGGTTTCAAAAAAAATTATTATCTTATTATTTTATCGAATTTGATGAATTTTTACATTGATCCGATTTGAGATCAGCAAAATTTATTAATTTATAGTGATTATTAATTTATCGAATATTAATTTATAGAGATTCTACTGTATAATATATATAACATAATTCTGTTGCGATACAGTGACCGTCGGATTCAATTGGTCTTTCAAACCAACGGTCCGATGAAACAAAACCTGAATTGGTGTAACCATCAAACACAACTAAGATGAAGACGTGGCTATGATTTAGAGGACCTACCTCCAAAAGATATTCCACTATTTGTTATTCGTTTTTTTTTCTTTCCATTATTTCTTTTTTGCTAATTCGTGAAAATGATCTGATCATCTGAAGAACAGGAAAATATATATTAAAAGAAATTCCGAAAATTAAGAAAAGGAAAAGGGAAAAAAAAAAAACAATTTTACTAGAGAGAGAGGGGCGTGAATTCCTGAGCGAGAGATTCTTCGCCGGAGTATTCTCTTGCGTGATCTTACGGCTGCTTTCTTCGCCCGAAAAAGCTCGTTCGTCGGTTGGAAATTCGTCTTTCTCTTCCCGTCGGAGGTTTTTTTTTAGTTTTTGAGGTCAAAGCGAAGATGGTGAACGCTATGGTGGAGAGAGCGACGAGCGAGATGCTAATCGGACCGGATTGGGCTATGAATCTCGAGATCTGTGACATGCTCAATAGCGATCCAGCGTAAGCTGCCTCTGCTCCATCATATTTTTTTTTAATTATTATTATCCTGCTTTGCCTACCTCTTGTTGTCTAAAGTTTTCGATTAGTCTCCTGAAAAATATTGAAACTGTCTATTCGGATTTGAATCTGTGATGCCTTTGTTGGTTCAGTAAGAAACTTGACACTTAGATGAAAATCGAAATTCGTAGTTCTGGAGAAGCAGATACCAGAATTAGTCATCTTCCATGTTTCCTTTGGGCATTAGGATACTTGTGACTTACTGTTTGCCTAAGTTTGGCCAAGGTTCAAGAAAAACAAATAATTTGTATTAAGCGTGAAGGGTTTTTGTTGATGTGTATATTGGCTTCATTGCTGAATTTTAACTAAAAGTCGACATGGTTAGTGCTTGTTTTCTGTATAGTTAACAGTTGAGGAGGAAGCCTTTCTTGATAAACGAGATCGTTTTCTATTTATGATTGTCCGGGTTCGCAGCTGGTTAATGTTTGCACTAGCTCATGGAACCAAATAATTAATCATTTATAGGGTTTATTGTAAAAGCTGGGAACTTATTTCCTTTATATGCTTCGTGATATGAAGAAGTAGATTTCAGGGTTACAGAAATTATTTGTACTAACCAGGCGGATCCTACATGATGTCTGAAACTGGTTGCTATTTTGCAGGCAAGCAAAAGATGTTGTGAAAGGCATAAAAAAACGTATTGGTAGCAGAAATCCAAAAGCTCAACTTCTTGCCTTAACGGTGAGCTCCAAGATAATTGTCTCCGTTTTATTTCCCTTTATGGTTACTTCGTCGAATTCACTATTTTTGTTATATTCACTGTGCATTAGATAGCTTGTTTGTTTTGGTTACACATGTAGCTTCATTCCAAAGGTCTTAAGGATCCATGGGCAGTTATCTCCTAGTTCAGTGCAAGTTTACATGAGCAGAGATTACTTGTTCATGATAAATGTCGTTTAGGACGTACATCAAACCTCACCAGAATTAATTTTGCTCCTTTTTTGTATTAGTGTACATGAGCATTTTGCGACTTACAAGTTGCACATAAATGATATTTTGATACATTATGTTCACATCATTTCATCTGTCGTTTGTATTGCAATGATAGTGTATATTCACTCACTATGCATTTGTTATATTCTAGCTGCTTGAGACGATAGTGAAGAATTGTGGTGACATGGTTCATATGCATGTGGCTGAGAAGGGCGTTATTCATGAGATGGTCCGGATAGTTAAGAAGAAGGTAAGGGTTCTTCCAAATTGGTCATGTCGGGAAAAGTTAACCCAATATCTCTCTCTAATTCAAGGCATCTATTGATACATATAGCCGGACTTCCATGTCAAAGAGAAGATCCTGGTCCTTATCGATACATGGCAAGAAGCCTTTGGTGGCCCCAGAGCAAGATATCCACAATACTATGCAGGATACCAGGAATTGTTGGTAGGTCGACTGAAACTGTTGTTTGATACCTTTCCTTCAGTAAAGTATTATACTGATGTTTAAATATGTCTCATACTGAATTCCTCTTAGATCCTTCTGTGAGTTCTGTTTTCTTCTATTACTCTTTCCTAACCACCATTGCTGACTCCTGTCTCTTTCAGCGTGCTGGGGCTGTTTTCCCTCAGAGATCAGAGAGATCAGCTCCTGTGTTCACACCTCCACAATCACAGCCTTTGACGTCTTACCCTCCAAATCTTCGTAATCCTGGACCTAGTAATGCTATGCCTGAACCTTCAGTAGAGCCAGAATTTCCGACACTGAGGTAGATATCTTCTGTTACAACTCTGCTGTTTGAAATTGATGAACAGACGCATGTAAGATTTTGTTGGGCCAGTTTCAGTGTCCTTGAGTTATCTGACAAATTTTTTTAATATAGGCTTCGCTACTTTTTCTTCTGGGAAATGTATTAGCAGAAAGCAACCCTAGTTGGAAGCCTAGATATAGGGTGCATCGAAGCTGAGACGTGATTAGAATCAAGAATAATTACAATTAAGTAACATCTCATTAGTTTTTGGCAAAACACTTGTGTAGTAATGGAGTTTAACTTTTTCTTGTTGGACTTATTGGGAATGTACGTTAGGGTCTACGAGTGTTAAGTTTGCGTCTACTTGCTTCTTTATTTAGAACGTAGTTGCATGCCTTTGTTTCTCAGAATCTGTTGCTTCTCAAATTTTTCTTCCGTTGTATGTCAAAATCCTTTTTCAGTTTGTCGGAGATTCAAAATGCTAAAGGTATTATGGATGTGCTTGCGGAAATGCTGAGTGCGTTAGAGCCGGGAAACAAGGAGGTAACACGATATAGTTGCAGAGAGTAATAAGAACCTGTTTGCAAGTGTAGGCTATAGTGCAAAATGTGCTAGAATAAAAGGAACATTTTTCGGAATTGTTTTGGACATTGTAATTGCGAAATTTTTAATTATTTTGTTTCTACAGAATTATCTCAGGATGATCATCCTTCTTTTTTTGGATTTCTTTAGGACCTTAAACAGGAGGTGATGGTTGATCTGGTGGAGCAGTGTCGTACATACAAACAAAGAGTGGTACACCTAGTCAACTCGACTTCGTAAGAGCTCTTTCTTTTCGTCTCCAATTACATGTAGTTATCTCTCTCACGTAGCAAATTAGTTATATTCCGATGAGATATCTCTTTATATTCTTTTCTAGTATTCATACATATTAAGTTTATGCCTCCGAGCTTAGGTTTCTTTGTACTCTTCTTTACCTCACAACTTTGTTGTCCAGGGACGAGTCTCTACTATGTCAAGGTCTGGCGTTGAATGATGACTTGCAGCGGGTCTTAACCAGTTATGAAGCAATCTCTTCTGGAACTCCTGGAACTTCTGTTCAAATCGAGAAGCCCAAGTCTGAGACAGGCAAATCCCTTGTAGATGTTGATGGTCCACTCATTGATACTGGGGATAGCAGCAGTCAGGCGAACGGGTACGTAAGACCAAACTTTACAGTTATGCACCCAAGAATTTTGGATAAACACCTGTTTTTGATACGGGTTACCAATCTCATTTGCAATCTTGAGCCCTATATATGGATTACGCATAGAAATAATTACAATCTCAGATGAAGCTTACCAAGTAGGAACTGAGATCTCGGTTCAAGTGACCTGGTAAAGCAAAATTTGGTCTTATTAATAGCTTCTGATTGTACTACGTCCAACGTTTCCGCAGAGCTACATCAAGTTCTGGTAACGGGGTTCTAAATCAATTGGCCCTCCCTGCACCACCTGTAACTAATGGTTCAGCCGATTCCAAAATAGACCTCCTCAGTGGCGATGATCTTGCCCTTGTTCCTGTGGGGCCTCCTCAACCAGCAAGTCCGGTCGCATCAGATCAGAATGCACTTGCCCTTATCGATATGTTCTCAGACAATACTAATAGTCCAAGTCCTGCAACTGCACCAACTAGTAATTCAGCTCCACAGAGTACTCCTTTGAATTCGCAACCGCACCAGCAACCAAATAATCAAGCTGGAGAAGCTGGAGTACACCAATCCAATGGATTTGCTCCTCAAATGGGTTATTCACAGTTTGAGCAGCCATCATACGGGCAAGGGGCCTGGAATAGTCATCCTGCACAGCAGTTGCAACAACCACAGCAGCCATCATATGGTAATATATTTGAGTTTAAATGAAAAACTGCAACTTTTGAGACATTTCACTCTTTTGGTCCTTATTTGTTCTGTTTATGGTAATTTTGTAATGCGAAGAAGGAGCCCAAGACAATATGGCATTTCCACCTCCCCCATGGGAAGCTCAGCACCAAGATTTCAGTCCCACTGCGGAGTCAGGAAGTCCGTTTTCTCCGCAAATGCATCCGACACAAATCGCCTTCACACATGGTCAACAGTATCCTCAAATGCCCCAAACCGGCCAACCAGTTAACAACAACAGTCCTTATCCTCAAATGCCCCAAAGCAGCCAACCGGTTAACAACAGTCCATATCCTCAAATGCCGCAAACCGGCAGCGGTATGTACATGCAACATCCAATGCCAAACCAACCGAATCAGGCTCTAGGGCAAGGTTATCCACCCCAACAACAGCAGCAGCAGATGATGATGGCTCAGTTCTATGCCCAACAGCAACAACAGCAACAGGCGTATGGAAACCAGATGGGTGGATACGGATATGGCTATAATCAACAGCAACAAGGAAGTAGCCCGTATCTGGATCAGCAAATGTACGGTTTGTCCATGAGAGACCAGGCTCCGCATCAGGTACCATCATCTTCGTCGTCTGCCACGTCTTATCTTCCTCCTATGAAACCTAAGAATAAACCAGAGGATAAGCTATTTGGGGATCTCGTTGACATCTCGAAATTCAAGCCTAGTACAAAACCGACTTCCGGAAGAGCTGGTACCATGTGAAATCTCCTCCATCAATCCATGATTTCTGAGTATTCATCTCCTCTCTCCTCTGTTTTCTTTACTCAGCTAACTCTCTTTCTTCCTCTTTTTTTTTTTAAAGCTTTGATCAATTGATTTTTACCCTCTTGGAAGATACATACATATATCTATATGTTATTTTCTTCCTTATAATTTGCCGTTGATTATGACCGGTAATGGATTTGTATATTTCTTGTAGAGAAAGAAAAACTGGAAAATCTTTTGTTGAGAACTCATCGATTTGCGGTTTGTCTGGAGATTCTATTTAGACCTTTTCATCTCATTTGGTTTCTCAGACATTTTATATGTTTCCATTGGCAATAATTTACAAAATGATGTTTTATGTTATTTGTATTTGAATATTTGAATGTAACTATTACGTTTTTGTCGACGGAAACATTTATATGCCAAACTATGCTTCCAGTCTATAACCTAACTTGTTATCTAAGATAATGGTGTCATTTAATTTAGAAATAGTGAGAAATGCTTTTTTCCCGAAACTTTACATAGAACTGTGACTTGTTTACAAATGCTTTCTTAGAATTACAGTGATATTAATTTTGTCAAAATTCAAAATGAAGCAACACCTTGTTGAAATCAGATCTTTAGTTACCTGAAGATTACAAAAGTATTTTAGTATAATTTAAATTATGAACTCAGAAGCCAGATAGTCAATATGTCCGAGTGGTTAAGGAGACAGACTCGAAATCTGTTGGGCTTTGCCTGCGCAGGTTCGAATCCTGCTGTTGACGAAATTTTATTTTTGTAAGAAAACCTTCGCTTATGAATACTTCTAATTTAAATAGATTTTTTTTTTTGTCAAGCCCACTTAGGCCATATGAGTTCTTTTTCCCGTAAAATTTTAAAGTAAAATTTTTTTAACACAATCTCATTAATAAAGTAGAAAATTTCTGTCTTCATCAATAAATTTCCTTAAGTCAAGCAAAAAGAAGTAATATTTTCAGAATCCCCAAGGAGGAAACTGGGAAACATACACACGAGTCACAAGTCGGCAATGGGATTTATTAGCTTCTTTAGCTGCCACATAAGCTCTTACAACGTGTCTTGTTCCTCTCTGCATGTCCATAGATTTTTCTTTCACGAAACCAAAGTTTTCCGTTCACTTTCACCATTCTCTGCATTTCTTCCTTCAGTTACTGAATCCGATCTTCAACTATGGAGACCCGGAGCTTGGTTGTTTCGATGAACACTAATTTCTCTTCCTATGAGCTCTCTCTTCCTGCATCGCCTCTCACTCGCTCACTTGCTCCGTTCCGATCGGCTAAACTAGGGTCCCGCTCCATTTCTAGGGTTTCGGCGTCGATCTCCACTCCGAACAGTGAACCTTCTTCCTCCGGCAAGGATGCTGCTATCTCTGTGAAACCCGTTTACGTCCCGACGCCGCCCAATCGCGACCTCCGGACTCCTCACAGTGGGTAAATTGATCTAATCCACACGACTTCTCCTTTGTTCTAGTTTAATTGGAGTTTTTGTTGATTTGCACGTTCTTGTTACGATCATTGTGCCTTGAATATATTGTTCCTTCCAGATTCAATGTGTTTTTTTTTCTTGTCCATTAAAAAGTTGAAATTTTGTTTTTATTAATTGGGTCTCTTGTGCCATTCGAAGACTAACTTTGAAGTGAATTATCGAACATTACAGTATAAATCTGAGTATTCTTTTTATATTTTTCTAATGTTTAACAATTTGTTATCTTTGAAATTAAAAAAATACAGATACCATTTCGATGGAACAGCACGGAAGTTCTTCGAGGGATGGTATTTCAGGGTTTCGATTCCGGAGAAGAAGGAGAGTTTTTGCTTTATGTATTCTGTGGAGAATCCAGCGTTTCGTAAGAGATTGTCACCATTGGAAGTGGCTCTCTATGGACCCAGATTCACTGGTGTCGGTGCCCAGATTCTTGGAGCTAATGATAAATACATATGCCAATACACACAAGAGTCTCATAACTTCTGGGGAGGTAACTTCTTGATCCTTTAATCCTGTTCCATGAGAACAAGTAGTCAAATCTGAGTTTTGTTTCTACTTCTGGTTCTCATGTTCGTTGATGTGAAAGATTCTCAAGTCTTCTCTGAATTTTGTTATATTTTGGTGCTAGTGCTCTTTTCTTTAACATAAATTAATTTGCATGACTTTGAAGATTCCTCACCTACATATTTATATTTTATTCATGCATAGATAGACATGAGCTAGTTTTGGGGAATACTTTCAGTGCTGTGCCAGGCGCTAGATCTCCAAGCAAGGAGGTTCCACCAGAGGTAAAACTTATCTTCCCTCGTTGCATGATAGTGTTCTACTAGAGATTCTCAATTTTTTTTACTCTTTTTATTTTCTTGAATGTTGATCCGTAATCATGGCGTTTGATTTTAGGAATTCAACAGAAGAGTGTCCGAAGGGTTCCAAGTTACCCCATTTTGGCATCAAGGTCACATATGCGATGATGGCAGGTAATCATCTGATTCTACGCACGGCAAGAATGTGAGTAGATATCTCATTCAGTCTTGAGAAAGTGGCAATGAAACTATTTATTTGGTATCTTAGGCATTAACTCACCTACAATGCTTGCTTCAGTTGGTCATGATTCCTGTTCTTTGGAATTGTTTTCTAGTGTAACATAAATTCTGTCAGGAGTCATTGACATGCTCAGAACTGTCATGCACGGTAAATAAAGGATGCATGTTAGCATTCTCAGATGTTGGGATTTGTTTGGGATATAACGAGTAGTAGAATTCTCTGCTCTAGGAAGTTTATGTGTTTAAATCTGAATTCACTTGTTTTGGCAGGACTGACTACGCGGAAACTGTGAAATCTGCTCGGTGGGAGTATAGTACCCGTCCTGTTTACGGTTGGGGTGATGTTGGGGCCAAACAAAAGTCTACTGCAGGCTGGCCTGCAGCTTTTCCTGTATTTGAGCCTCATTGGCAGATATGCATGGCAGGAGGCCTTTCAACAGGTGTGAGCTTTGCTTAATCGACTAAATTTAGTAAAAAAATATGGTTAAGTTTACCTGCCTTCTGCGAGCAAAATATTAAGAAAGAAATCATCCACTTGCTTAGTTACCCTCTCTTCGTCTTAATTGCATGGGCAGCAGAAACTGCTATATTGATCTTATTTTGTATCTCTTGACTTTGCAGGGTGGATAGAATGGGGTGGTGAAAGGTTTGAATTTCGGGATGCACCTTCTTATTCAGAAAAGAATTGGGGTGGAGGCTTCCCTAGAAAATGGTTTTGGGTAAACATTTTCATTCTTGTGCTACATTTTATTGCGCAAATTCTAGGCATCGAGGTGGATATAACATACACATGTATTACATTTGAACTCGTGTTCGATAGCTTTATTACTCGGTGTCTCTTCACAGGTCCAGTGTAATGTCTTTGAAGGAGCAAGTGGAGAAGTTGCTTTGACCGCTGCTGGCGGGTTGAGGCAATTGCCTGGATTGACCGAGACCTATGAAAATGCTGCACTGGTATGCACTAATTAAGATCGTCTTAAGCAATGGCAGTGAGGATACAATGTTAGAATGCAAGTAGTTTAACAAATCTCTGGATCCTTTGTAAATGCGCAGGTTTGTGTACACTTTGATGGAAAATTGTACGAGTTTGTCCCATGGAATGGTGTTGTTAGATGGGACATGTCTCCATGGGGTTATTGGTATATGACTGCAGAGAACGAAACCCATATGGTGAAGTGAAAAAGGAATTCTTCCTTAGATTTTTCACTTTGACAACATTGTTACCTTTATGGCTCGATTCCGACACCCCATGAATGTTTTGTGACAGGTGGAACTAGAGGCAAGAACAAACGAAGCGGGTACACCTCTGCGTGCGCCTACGACAGAAGCTGGACTAGCTACGGCTTGCAGAGATAGTTGTTACGGTGAATTGAAGTTGCAGATATGGGAACGGCTATATGATGGAAGTAAAGGCAAGGTATGTATGCGAATGCAAATGCATCCCCTTAGTTAAAAGTTGTAGCTAGTCTTTATGCAGATAAAGACGAGTAAAAGCGTTGGCTATGGTGAATAATGATGCAGGTAATACTGGAGACAAAGAGCTCGATGGCAGCAGTGGAGATAGGAGGAGGACCGTGGTTTGGGACATGGAAAGGAGATACGAGCAACACACCTGAGCTACTCAAACGGTCTCTTCAGGTCCCATTGGATCTTGAAACCGTCTTTGGTTGGGTCCCTTTCTTCAAGCCACCGGGTCTGTAAGACTGTAACATTGATGATGGTTGGGTATATTAACCCCCAAGAAAAACGGTTCATTTTATCTAATGAAGTTTTCCAGACTTGGTTCAAGCTATCTCTATATATCGCTTTTGTCATTTCATTAATGTTGTTAGCTTCTAAAAGTTTATTTGTGAGCAAGTAAAAAAGTTTGATTCTTTTAGGTGGTGATTTTGTTTAAAATGAATTTTTATATAATTTTTTGGTGTTAACCAAAAGTAAAAACCAAAGAGCCGTTAACAATCTGAGAGCTCTGCACAAATCGTATCAAGAGAAACTCGATCCATTTTTCATTTCTAGTCCGTTTTCCATCCATTATTCTTTATTTTTCGCAATTGCCTCTTATTTATGCATTTTTTATTCGTTTCTTTAACCAAAAAATATATTTGTTTCCACTAATTCTTCCTAGGCAGGAACTAGGAACCACGATCATAATGGAATAGTAATCATATAGGTTCGACTTGTTAGATATGTGTAATATGAGTGGGAGGCAAAAAGGAGAAAGAATAAGTTCCTTAATATCGGCTCACTTTGTCCACCATCATCACGAATGCACACTCTATGGCTCCACCAATTTACATTATTCTTCCGAAGATACATAAACTCTTCTACTTTGCCTTTACGCTAATATATGAATATATGATTATGATAAAACATTATCTCATTACCAATATATGAGTTTAAGTTTATTTTGAAATATTTTTCCCTATTGACTACGAAATTTAGGATAAAGTAAAGCAAGGGATATTGTTTTTACCAACAAAGTTCAATTTAGGCAATAATTAGAACACAAATGGCACACTCATCATTTTGTTTTATTTATTTAAACCCACAAAACCCATTTGGGGCAGTCGAAAGGATAAAGAAGATAAAAAACCAAAGAAAATAGTTTTTTTTTTTCTACTTGTTGTGTCTCTATTTCTTTTTCTTCTTTTTTTCCTTTGTTGAAATATTTTATCGTCAATGGTTTGATAAGTTCAGTATACTCTAGGTGTCGCTGTTCAAGTCACGTGGAAAGTGGTAAGAAATTGTTTGGGATAAAAGCCTGAACAAGAGAGTTATGATAGATCGATGATTCAGAAAGAGTTTGAAAACAGTTCAAAATATGGCTTAACTAATGTTTCCTTGTCATCAAAGTCGTTATTGAGTATTTACAGGAGTATTAATTTATGATATATTAATTTAAAAACTAGCCAGTGAATTTGAATCGTAAAACTCAGGAAACAAATGAAGGTTAAACAGGTTTGATCGAACTAGTTAAAGCTAAGGTAAAAGACAAATTTGTGAAACAGATTCGAAACAAAATCTAAAAGGACATACGGCCTATAGTATATATGGGTGTCAAAAGGATTACTTCAGTAAACGAGTTTAGGAAGATGTTAAGAAAAAATACTCTTTTTTTCTCTTTCTCCATTTCGTTATAGAAGTTGTTTAACAAATTTTAAATTTCAATTAAATAAAAAATATATTACAAAAAGAACACTTGACTGAACTGTATTTTATTTTGTCTCTTTATGTATTACTTACAAAAGGAGTTATTACTTTCCGTCAAAAATGTAAGAAAAAAATAGGAAAGAGGAAATCAATTAGAAAAACATATATAGCCAAAGTCACATAGTGATTCTTCTCTCATCAATCTGAAATCTCTATCAACAATGACAAGTTTGCACAAAACCCTCTTCACACAAAATCCCACTACTTTAGACCAATGTAAGTTTTTTTTTTTTTTTTTGCCCTTAGTTAATTTGGTTAATCGGTCGCATTAATTAATTTTGGAGATGTGTGGTTTTTTTTCAGTGATGATGTCCCATACGGGAAGAGATTGTTCATGGAAAAAACTAGAGAACATAGAAGAAGAAGGTCCAGCCACGGTGGCGCGTGAAGTGAAGACGGCTTTACCACCGGAGACGCCGACGGAGACGATGGAGTTTCTAGGGAGATCATGGAGCATTTCTGCCGTCGAACTCACAAGAGCGTTCTTCAACAATTCTGCTGCCGACACTAACTCATTTCTTCTCTCTACTCTTGTTAATACCAATAAAGAAGATAGAGAAGACGAAGATGATTCTACTTCCATGGCTTCTTCTCGTGATCTTGTAAGCCATATTGATTTCTTCCCATTTTCTCAGTTGGATCAGCTGTTCTAGTTCGGTACAGTTTTTCTTTTTCTTTTTTGGTCAAAGTTACACTATGACAATAGCAAAAAATGATGCTTAAAAAATATTTTATATATATATATATATATATTCTATGTGAAAATTTTCCGCAGAGAAAACAAAAGTCCCTAAACAAAATTATAGACATTTTTATCCGTGATTTAAACATTGTGGGACGTACGATTTTCCTTTTAGTATATGTTACGTTTGATGTGAATATCCAATTTCTTAAGTGGAGTTTCATTTTTTGTCATATAAACGTCCCGTATATCATTTTGGGACTCAACATTAGTATCAGACATACTAAATACTGGTTTGATATCTGTAATAATATTGTACCTCCCTAATAGTAAATGATAATATTTTTTTAAATGTATACTCAATAAAATTACACATTAAAATATCACTTAAAACCTTTTTCAAGGTATTAAGCATTTGTGAATTGTTTTTTTTCTTTGGTAAAACAGCATGCATTTGTGATTTGCTGATAGCAACTTTTAAATTGTTTTATGTTTACTTAATTATTATTTTATTTTTTTTTTCTAACGAGCATATATAACTTTTTTTATCACACGGTTGCAGGTTAATTAATTTTTTTTTCGTAAAAAGTAACTAAACTTTGCGCATAAACACTTCATGTGAGTTTGTCTATATTTCTTTGGTTGTTGTGTGTGTGTGTTAGTAAAGAAGTAAATCGATTATACCTAAAGCATGAATTTAATATGAATTTTACTCTTCTGGATCACTTTTCAGCTGCTGCCACATATAGGAAACAAGACTAGCCCTCCAATTTCTCCAAGAACCGGCAAAGAAATGAAGGTATGACCTATCATACCGGTATTCTCCGGTTTATCTTTTGTCTCAAATCAATCATATCGTTACCAAAAGGAGCCGACGTAAAGAAAGAAAAAAGCTGGTTGGTTTTGGAACTTTTGGTATATAGAAAAAAATAACCGAGAGAAAAGAGAACGCATTATGATTAATGGTCATAATGAATTCATGCAGTTGTTTATTCAGTCCCTTTTTCGTTTTTGATATAATAAAAACGGTGAATATAATGATTCATGAGTCAATAGTGGAGATTCTGATTTGGTTACTTTTGTTTTGTTCAAATTTTAAAATAATTTTAGTCTATAGACTGATGATTGCATATGATCAGAAAACTAATGGACTCAAACATTAGTTAACCGCGTTCCCAAATCCCAACTAATAATCATATTCTTACATAACATTCAAACTCGAACATCATGTGTACCTAGAAGAAAAAAAAAAGAGAAGATTACTAGCACACAAAACGGAAAACATAATATTCAATTTGGTTAGATATACACATAACACGTTATGTGAAAGTGTCTCAGTTTTCTTCGACTGAGATTCAGAGAAGATGTTACATGTTTGAAGAAAAAATGAAAATGATAATACTAATTAACTAGTGCGGCCAAGAAATTACTAGATAAAATATTAGAAATCCAATTTATCTTTTTTTAGGTAGAAAATATTGATAAAATATAATCCAATTTCTTAACATATTTGGATTTTTTAATTTCACAAACAAAGAATAAATAAAAAATAGAAAATGATAATTCAAGTTTTATTTTGAATGACGTAGCATTTGTATAAGAGCATGATAAAAGGAAGAACCATGGGAAGAAGACTAAAGGATCAGAAGGAGAAGAAGAAACAAGAGACTCGAACTCGCAACGCTGAGATTCACGCCGCGGTCTCTGTCGCAAGTGTAGCTGCGGTTGTAGCCGCAACTGCAGCATCTAACGCAATCGCATCCTCAGAAAATGCTGGTGAATCAACAAAAGTTGCGGTTGCAGTCGCGTCTGCAGCCGCTCTCATCGCTTCGCATTGCATTGAAATGGCGGGAGAGATAGGAGCGGGCTATAACCAGATAGAGACGGCCGTTAGCTCTGCGACCAACGCTAAGACTAACGGAGACATCATGGCTTTAACGGCAAGTGCTGCAACAGGTTGGTAGTAATATAGTTTAACGAATGTTTAAATAGTTTCCGTTTTGGTTGAGGTTTGGTTTATAATCGGATACATCTTTAATATTAGCGTTGCGAGGAGCTGCGATTCTAAGGTCAAGAATGGAAAGGAATAAGGAGAACAAAGCATTGGTATATTCAACAAAGGAGAACGTGGAAAGGGAAGAGAGAAATGTATTTGGAGCGATGACTTTCGTCTCTAGAGGAGAAGAGCTTCTCAAACGCACCCGCAAAGGTAACTTGTCATCCAAGCAAAAACAATTATTACATTTATACTTGTGATTTGTGAAGCTATCGATGTAAAGTTTTAGAAAATGTTGGTGACAGGGGATCTTCATTGGAAGCAAGTATCTTTTAACATCAATTCAAATTGGCAAGTAAGTTCTTTTATATTTTCGGAAGATATATTTCATCAAGATTCATCATATATATAGTAATATAGAGACTCTTGGTTTTGAAATAGGTGGTACTTAAAATGAAGAGCAAACATGTGGGTGGAACTTTCACAAAGACGAAGAAATGTAAGCTATACTATAAGAAACCGGTTTCTATCAAATTCCGGTTGATTGTATTACCTTTTCTTGAAACCAAGAAAGAGTTTGTTGGCGGTTTTGCGATGCAGGTGTTGTCAATGGAGTGTGCCGGGACATACCTGAATGGACGCATAGAGGAAGAGTAGAAAATATGGTCGAGAGAAGAGCCTACTTTGGGGTAAAAACCGTGGAAAGGGTTATTGAATTCGAATGTGTAAACAAAAGAGAGAAGCAGATGTGGATAGAAGGGATTCAGCAGCTTCTTAACTCACTTGAAACCGGTTCTTTAGTGTACACTGGAAACATTTAGGGTTTGAGTCAAAAAGACTCATTCATGCTTGAATTACATCATGTGATGAAGATTGAACTTGTGTGTTGAGGAAAGTATCCTTGTGTCCGCTGTGATTTTGACATCTGTTGTTTCTTGTGTATCAAGTTACTTGTTAAGAATGTGAGATATAAAAATTAATATTTAGAAAAATAAATCAATTCACTCAAACTTATAGTGGATTTTTTTTTTCTTTTTTTGTTTGAACAAAACAAAAAGATCAATGTACTCAAACAATTAATTGAAAACTTTGGAATATTAGTTGATGAGATTTGGTTCGAAAATGATCAAGAACTACCAATCTTAAAAACATGTGTCAAAATCCACTCATACACATTTCAATTGGAATTAGAAACCCGAAAATCTTTTTAAGTACTTTTCTAAAAAAACTAATATCTAAGTTGGAACATTGCTAATTAATATGATAATTAAAATTAAATCTCGGCATAATCAGAGACGAGAGCGTGGTACAGACTCTCTTTTTTTTTAAAAAAAAAAGGCTTTAGGTCCTTCACATCTTTATCGTTTCATTTTCACAGCTGGACTTCTGAGTTTTTTTTTTCTTTTCAATGGGAAAAATATAAAATATAGAAAGAAATAAAATTTCCCCTTTCAGTCTTATTTCTTCTTTAGAAGCTTTGATCTGTTGCTGATAATCTTCTCTGGTTCTTGCGAGTTCTTGCTACAGCAAATATTACAGGTAACATATTTCTCCACTCGACTGCGATAATTCGACTTTCAGTTTCTCTTTCGTGTTAAATTCTAGGATTTAATTGCTAGCTAGTTTCAGTCTTCTATCTAACAAGGGTCGCCACTTCAAGATCTCTCTGCTCAAGTTTCGAAATTATTGTCTTTTTACAAGAACAACAACAAAAAAATCAAACATGATTTGCGTTTTTTAACTTCAAAATGTTTTCGACTCAGCTCTTTGTCGTCGCTTCAATTTTCCAATCAATGGGTAATAGATTCGTCCTAGCAAATGAAAGATTTAATGCTAAAAGATCACTTGAAAAAACGAAAAATTAAAACTTTGGAAATGATGTAAGATCCGTAACAGTAATATTTAGTTGTAGTATCCAATTCGTGTGTTTGAATTCAATTCTCTGTTTTATTCTATCCTGCAGATTTGTGGTTAAGATGGCGATGTTCATTGTGTCATCAGTCATGGAGTAGATGTTGAATTTGTAGCAACTTAATATACTTTTTGCCACCAGGATCTAGTGGCTAGTTTTCAGAACTCAATCGGTCGATGCAATGAAGTTGTTACGAGTTGCTGGTGTAGTTTTCATATTTATAGTCACCTTCCAGTTCGTGAACATACATTATTTTGGTGGTGCTATATTCTCTTTACCTTCTGAAGATAAGTTTCCGATATCATCTATTAATGGGAGCACAGAACCCATCAGGCCATTATCTGGTACTGAAAAATTGAATTTTAGTAGCTCGAGATCCGTTGAGGTAGCTAAAGAGGAAAGAACCGGTTTAGAAGAAGACCATATTATTGGCTCTGATAAGAGTGAAAGTATTGAATCCCATGATAGTTTCATAGAGGATGCAGAAGATAAGGAAACTCTTGAATTGCTGCTACGAACAGGGAGCAGCTCAAACGGGAGTTACAGTGATATAGTCGAAGATGCTGACATTGTTAATGAAAATAGTAGGAATGTAGAGATTCTGGAGAGTAAATCTGATACTTCTGTCGATAATCTTTCCCCAGAGGTGAAAAGGTTGATGAATGTTTCAAATTCTGGGGTGGTTCCTATCACTGAGATGATGAATTTATTGCATCAAAGCCGCACTTCTCATGTCTCCCTGGTGTGTGTTTATAAGTATGTGATTAGATAAGAAATGTTCTTGTTTCTACTACTACACCTTTATATCTTATTGTTAATGTATGTGTTCTCGTATTTTTCAGAAACTAAAGCGGTCTTCTGCAGTTGATACAGAGCTGTTGTTTGCAAGAACCCAAATTGAGAACCCACCGATGGTGGAGAATGACCCTTTACTGCATGGTCCTCTGTATTGGAATCTGTCCATGTTCAAAAGGTAATTTAATATATCAGTTTTATGCATTTCGAATGCATTCTCCTGTATCTAGGCATAGCTTTTGTATTTTGGCCAGAAGGTTGTGTCTAGATGGGTTTTTATGTCTCTTCATCTATATTTTCACTTGCAGGAGCTATGAGCTGATGGAGAAAAAGCTCAAAGTATATGTATACAGAGAAGGCAAAAGACCCGTATTGCATAAGCCAGTGCTGAAAGGAATATATGCATCTGAGGGATGGTTTATGAAACAGCTCAAGGCCAGCAAAACATTTGTCACCAAGGACCCGAGTAAAGCTCACCTATTTTATCTTCCTTTCAGCTCCAAAATGTTGGAAGAAACTCTGTATGTCCCTGGTTCTCACAGCGACAGGAATCTCATTGAGTTTTTGAAGAACTACTTGGACATGATTTCCTCGAAATATCCTTTCTGGAACAGAACTGGAGGATCAGATCATTTTCTGGTCGCTTGTCATGACTGGGTAATCTTTAAGTCTACTGTATCTACTCTGTCACTTATTATGAAACCACCATTTGATCCACTTCTTCTTTGGTTGTAATCCATGTTGTCAGGCTCCTTCCGAGACAAGGCAGTACATGGCTAACTGCATAAGAGCATTATGCAATTCTGATGTTTCAGAAGGTTTTGTGTTTGGTAAAGACGTAGCTCTTCCCGAGACAACTATTCTTGTTCCCAGGAGACCGCTTAGGGCACTAGGAGGTAAACCCTCTTCACAAAGGCAGATACTTGCCTTCTTTGCAGGAGGAATGCACGGTTACCTTAGACCTCGCTTATTACAAAACTGGGGAGGTAACAGAGATCCAGATATGAAGATATTCAGCGAGATACCAAAATCCAAAGGCAAAAAGAGTTACATGGAGTACATGAAGAGTAGCAAGTATTGCATTTGCCCAAAAGGGCATGAAGTCAATAGCCCTCGGGTCGTGGAGGCACTGTTCTACGAGTGTGTCCCGGTTATCATATCCGATAACTTTGTGCCTCCCTTCTTCGAAGTCCTGAATTGGGAGTCTTTTGCGGTATTTGTGTTGGAGAGAGATGTTCCTGATTTGAAGAACATATTAGTGTCAATAACTGAAGATAGGTACAGAGAGATGCAGATGAGAGTCAAGATGGTGCAGAAGCATTTCCTTTGGCACTCTAGACCCGAGAGATTTGACATATTTTATATGATACTTCATTCCATTTGGTACAACAGAGTTTTTCAAACTTGATGAAACCACATACTATTAGGTTTTGAAATCTGTAGAACAACATGTGATTAGCAGAGATTCATTGGTCAATAGCAAAATGCTTGTAGCAAAACTCGTCAATTTATTAAAACGTGCGGAGAAGCTCGTAGCCATAAGTTACACAGCTAATTAACGATGAAACATGAGGGTTTCTGATTTCATACGGGAGAGTTCAATTTATTAATTAATTTCAGAATCACACCACAGATGTGTTCATCAACTGAATCAGTTGTATATACTTAGAGAGTTGAGAACATCAAATTTCTTGAGCATATTTCCTACAGTATCCATACCTTTTTTTTTCCTGGCTAAGAACAATATTTATACTTTTAATTAAGACTAAACTTACAAGATTTTAACTACAACCATGTTATTTGAGTGTTCCCTCAGCAAACAAACACGTTTTGGAAAGATGTCTGATTCAATTCTGTTATGCTCCATCTCCTGTAAATTCACATATTCATAAGATTGTATCTTGAATGTTTTGATTTATCTTCGTCGTAGTCGTAGATGGCAAACAAACATATAATCATAACCTTCATGTTGCCGGTTGAATAGGATCGATCTATAAGTCCCAAAAAGGCGAAAAAAAAACATAAAGAATCTTTGATTTTGATTCATCTTTATAAAAGAAACGTTTAAGTTTACATAATTGACTTGTAGATAGTCGACGACAAACTTTGCTTTCGACACATCATAATGGCGTACTTTTCAATGGCTCAAAAAGAAATGTTTGGCTATGAAGCTATTTTCTAATTGGTCATGTTTATAATGAGCTATCTTTTTGTGTATATTGTGTCCTACTTTAAAGCCAGAATCCTATTTTGTTAACATTCAGAATTATAGACGTAGTGGTCAGAATCGGACCAAGTAGGTATTGCTTGTAACCATCATCGGCACAAATTATTCAAAGGAGGACCACGTTCATAACGTACTATATTTGTGTATATTCATTATTAAAAAAAATTGACATCATTTTATCATAAAATCATGTATTCATTTATACATCCCATTTATGATCACCATCGTAAAATGTAGATCATGAAAGATTCATAAAACCAAAAAAAAAAAAAAAACATTTGTTCGAGTGCTCTAAGTAAAGGTAATAAAAACAGGATTTATGCAGCCCTTAAAATGTGCTCCTCAATTTGGTTAACAATTTTGGGGCCTAAAAATCGCAGGCTTTTTCCAGTTTTAAATAAGGACTGAGACTACATTATCGGGTTAGAGTTAATCAATGAGATTAATCGAGTAAATCGAGTTTGATTGGGCTTGGTTAAGGGTAAAGCTTAACATAATTTTAAATAAGCTCGTCTTTTTTTTTTTTGAAACAAAATCAATGGCTTTCTTTTGGTATTCTTTTCGAATTTGTGAATTTCTATGGTGTATGTCAGTATATATAGAACTCGATGATGAATTTCTGTATAGTGTAAGACTGTAAGCCAAGGTAAGAGAGTAATCGAGAGTGTGATTGAGTTCAAGAGCTGGATTAAAACTTGGTGTCAAGTATTATCAGATTTCGCACCACTTCATTAAAAAAAAAAAGAAATTCAAACTTTTCGAAGTAGTGAAACTGGGTCGATGAAACAGGAGTTGACGCTGAGGTCTACAAACGGAGAGCGAGTAAGGGTGGTAGATTATGATATTTTAACCTTATTCATTAAAAAGAATTCTTATCTTCACTAAAAAGTAACAAATCTCTATATATATATTATTATTTGAGTAGACATTTCATAAATAAATGAATATTACAGAATATTTTACATAAATAAATATTTATTTATAAGATATTACATAAATAAACCTTTACTTAGAAGATATTACGTAAACAAGTTTTATAAATATAGAAAGCTCAATTAAATATATGGATATAAATCATAAGTATATTTAGTTTTTTTACTTATAAAAATATTAAAATATATTCTATTATTTTAAATAATAATCAATCTATATATATGAAAAAATAAATTTAAACTTTTGCAATATTTTTCATTTGTATTTTCATTATTATTTAGTATCATTTTTGAAAATCAGTTTAATTATTTATATAAAAAATGAAATTATATTTTCAAAATTTAAATTATTTTTTTTAACGGGTTGGCCAAAAAATAGTTTAGTAAATTGTGAAATATATTAAGTAGATTAGTTTTTCCATTTTGACAATCCTATATATAATCATTGTTAACACATATTATATAAGTTATTCACTAAAAATGATAATTTGATCTCTAATAAAATATTCACAATTAAATTTTTATTTTATGAATATATATATATTAGATTTTAATCCATGTTGGTATGTATATAAGTATATATATATATATATATATTAATATCATATCACTTTCATATTTAAAAAAGCTATTAATAATTAAACCGCATAATAATATATATACAAGTAAATATCGGTCGTGTAATATTTATATAGGTATTGTTATCTAATTGTCACTAATTTTATTTATTTATATTTTTTGGTAAAAATTTTTTGTCACCAATTTAATTTAACAAAAAAATTAAATTAAATTTAAAGATAATTAAAAAATCATTACCTCGTATAATATGCGGGTTAATTCCTACTGATACATTATAAAAAGAGCTTCGTGAAGATAAGAGAGTTTTCAATGAATAAAGTTATAGTAAATAACAATTAATTACTAGTTATACTAGTGATAAATTATATAAAACATAAAATGATACGCATTAGATGAAAGTATACAAAAATATCTTAACAACCTCTGCACGACTGCACTTCCCATATATTTCTAACCAGATATTTTAAAGACTTGGAATCGGCGTTTACAACTAAGCTGCAATTCCATATCCAATAACCTTTTTATTTTTTAATTTCCATATTAAATAACTTGTTCACACTTTACACTCGAAATCGAATACTACTACCACCACATTTTCCAAATTTGACTTTTTCAGATCGTGTTTCCAACACACTTTCAGACGATTTTTATTTCAACTCAAAAAGGGGAATTGTACCTTCTATTCCCTAAACAAAGTAAGAAAGTCTTGAGGGTGCTATTAAAAGGATGAAGTTGTTACAAAAAAAATGGGATGAAGTAAAACGTCAAATTTAATGACATTTTAACCATCATAACATCCTAACATAAATGGCTCAAATTTATTACAGAATTATAAGAAAATCTCTTTATTAATAGATTAATTAGTTTTTTCTAATTAATACACTAAAATAATATGGTTAAAATTGGAATTTTGTATTGGCAATACAAAACAACACTTTGTAAACCCTAAACAAGAATTAAAATGATACTAATTATGAATATAAAGAGATTAAACTTAGAAAAACAAAAATGTAGTCTATCTAATTTTGAGATTTTTGTTTGCCAATTTGCTAATTTTTTGTCCAAAATAACCCCATATTTTTTTCTACTGTGTACCTTTTTTTTCTTGTGTCGACTAGTCATATTGTACTTTCACTGAATGAAACTTAATATAATACCTTATATAATATATGGTAGCAGGGTGTAATAATTGAATCACGTGAGACCGTGGTTTGTCTTGGTTGGGACACGTGTTACGCGGATCTTTAAACCGTAGTCAAAAAGGGGTCCAAGAGTTGTCGAGATAACACGAACACTGTGTAACCCAGCAAAGACAGCTGGATTATCTATCCGTACGATTTTTTTTTTTTCTTCTTCTTCAACATTTGTCGACTTCTTCACTCTCTCTTTCTTAGTAATACTACTCTACTACTATCTTTTTTTTTTGTAATTAATAGTTAAATTTGTAGTCTTCATTAACTTCATTCAATATTTTGGGCTGCTGATATCTGATTCCAGCTCATAAATTACTAGTGGGTGTGGGTGGACCAACAAAAATATATAAAAGGCTGACGTCGACAAATAAAAAATTAGAAAAAAATCTGTGTGGATTATTATTGAACGACGATGACAAAGTACTAGCAAAAGAAATTAAAATTTCGTTTTCCAACTTAAGAATAAATCTTTCAACCATTGAAACTAGTACAAATTCGTTGCCACATTACATATTTGCTATAATTTTTTTTGTAAAATATATTGGATCTTCATAAATAATTGTATTTGTATGTATCGATCGGTCGGTCAGTTTTAGGCTGAGTTAATTAATTCTTAAAAAAAGCATGCTGTTAATATAGAATAATCTTACTGTGTTCATTCGTATTTGAACAGTTTTAAGGGTCTAATAATATAACTTTTCTAGTCTAAAATCAAACACCAACAGTAATGATTTGGGACAAAAATTTTAACAATTTCGAGTGCGCACAATGAAACTTTCACTTTTGTCTTTTTTATAAATTTTTTTTTTCTTATGTCTTTAGAAGAATTATATCACAAGAACAAAAAAGGAATGGGAAGATAGATTTGCTAATTTCTACATACCAAGATGATGGAGTAAACGCTTCTATTTAGAATTTTTATAAATTTTAACCGAAGGTATTCATAACAATTAATTACAACAATCAAGGTATATTTACATAACAAAATGTTTAATATTTACAACAATTAATTATTCAAAATGTATTATATTTACGACAATCAAGTATAATTGAATTTATTTGTAAATATTCATAACAAAATGTTTTATATTTACAACAATTAATTAACTAAGTGAAGCCCTCATATCCATATATATAGCATATGTGAATGATTTATAAGCTATCGTGCATATTGATTCACATTACATACAAACTATTTTCAGAAATTTTATTGATTTGTGATAAGGAACAGTGCATATTCATGGATATATACGGCTACATTCTTATCCATTCTTCTGAATTCTTTACATTCTGAACAAAACTATCGTATAAATAAACATTCGTGCAAATATAGCTAAAATAGACGAAAACTCATATCTTTTCTCAGCAAACAAAAAAAAAATCAAAAACTTAATTTAAAAGTCCGCGTTATCACTATTTGATATTGTCGACACTATTGATGATGTAATAATGGAGCAACTTTTTGAATATGAATTGGCTTTTTTAGAACCCCACCACCAAAGGAGAAAAGGACAACTTCATAATATAGTCTTTGAATAGATCCATTGCAATGATGGGTGTAAATCTTGCCTGATTAATATAAACCTTTGGTGGTGTTAGATTAACATAATTAAAACATTCGTCTCTAGCCGACACAAAGTATGTAATTCACTGATATGGTAATGTATTCACATTCGAAACGTTCAATCTCTTTTCCTTTTGCGCACTTGGTAAAATTTGATTTAGGTAGTATAACTTTTTGAGAGAGTAGTTTGGAATATCAAAATTAATAATTAAGGTGTTCTCATGCTATCGTTTGATCATGTGTAAAGGTTTCGATGGTTATGTTAACCAAGTTTTCGAAAGTTTAAGTTTCTCCATTGTTTTAGAAACGAATTGATCAGCGGTTCAAGAAGACATAATTTAATGCATATATGTCGTCGTACTGTACTGACATAGCTTAAAAGTTATTACGTCCTACTAGCTTCCTCCTTAGGGTTGCCGACTTAACCAATTCATTTAAAATTAATTGTTGTAAATATAAAACATTTTGGATAATGACGCAAAAACAAATTCTTTCTAGTTATGAGCTTCAATAAATCTAACAGAACTGGTGACGATACGTACCCTGCCGTAGATTCGAATCCTTGCACACGTTTCAAGTCTTACAAATGAAAAATACTGAAGATGTTCAGAGAACTTTAACAAAAAAAGATGATCAGAGAGTCTTGTCGAATTATTTACTTTTTGGGAAATCTAATAATTCGAAAAAGAACAAAAATTACATGGCTTATATCTGTAGGAACTTGTAACTCGTCACATCACAAAAAAAAAAAAAAAAGCAAAAGAGATTAGAAAACATCATCTCGTGTTTCGCGTCATAAATGAAAAGATAAATTTAGCTTTTAACGAAAATCATAGATAGAGATACATCCACACCAACCTCTCGTAGGTAAGCTTATGGGTCCGTCACTCTCTTTCCACCACATATAAATACAGAGAGTATGTGATGTATATAATATATATTCAGTGTGAGTTAATACTAAATATTGAAAAATCATTGAGATATTTGGAAACATCCAAAAAAAAAGAGACTAGAAATTTCACCAAACAATGATACAAACAAGAACTATCTTTTCTAACCCTTACACCCCAAATATTGTCTCGCCTTAACTACTTTTAATATTCTTTCTTTGTTTTTTTTTTGGGTATAAGAGACAATTCGAAATCTGAAATCCAATTAAGAGAAAAACAAAAATTCAGTCTTTTTGGCATTACGTCGAACACTTGGAAGGCATAAAGCTTAAAACTTGGAAGATAACAATGGTGGAATCTTCACTTGGTTCCGACAAGGAGAAGAAAGGAAGTAAGCAGCCAGTTTATCGTGGAGTGCGCATGAGGAGCTGGGGAAAATGGGTTTCGGAGATTCGTGAGCCACGGAAAAAATCGAGGATCTGGCTCGGTACTTTTCCGACGGCGGAGATGGCGATGCGTGCTCACGACGTGGCGGCTTTGAGCATCAAAGGAACTTCTGCCATTCTCAATTTCCCTGAGCTCTCAGAATTTTTGCCCCGACCCGCCTCGCTCAGCCCGCGTGACGTCAGAGCCGCGGCGACCAAAGCTGCTTTCATGGAATTCGATACGGCGCCGTTTGGTCTTGAGAGCGAGAACAGCGAAACGGCGGCGTCTAATAATAGGTCAGAGAGCGAGACGGCGTCGTTCTCTTCGTCTTCGGCGAGCAGCATTTATGAGGAGAGTTCGGTCTCCGACCATCTGGACGAGATCGTGGAGTTGCCGAGTTTAGACACGTGTCTAGACGAGTCGAACGAGTTGCGAAGCGAGTTCGTGGTTTTTGACTCGTTGGAGTTTGTGCCATCGTGGTTACGCGGTGGTACGGAACAAGATTTTACGTTTGACAATGATTCTCCGTTTGACTCTGTTTTCGAGGAATGCTTTTCTTGGAAACAATTTCCCTGAAAATTTAAATATATATTTCTCCTTTTTTCGACCAAAAAAAATATTTTCTCCTTTTTTGTTATTTTTGGTTAGTTTAAATTTTCATGGGATTCTCTCTCTGGTCTTTTTTATTTTTGCTTTGCGTGAGATATCTCCAAGATGTTGATGTGTGAAATTGATAACTTTTTGTAGTTTCTCCTTTTTAGTCACTCGGTCGGTGAAATGAAAGATGATGAACTGTAATCTGTTAGTGTGTAAATTAAAGCTATAAATTAGCCGAAATAACGTGATTAGTGTTAGTCTTTTGAGATTTTTTTTTTATAAAAAAAACCTCATTGTCTTACTTAGTTTTGCAAGATCAATTAAACTCTATTTACAAGATCAATTACTTAAAACATGCAATCGCAAACGTTTGCAAACAACTAGTGAGACGCTTTTAACAAAACCAAAAAAAAAAACTATTAACTAGAGCACACCAAACTACCAAACTACCAAAGTACAAAATGTACCGCGTATACGTACGTTTACCCAAAATTGAAGACGTTCATATAATTATGTATATTGATCAGTAGAAAAATCATACTAGTTAAAATAAAGCTTAAAGTCGCGAGAACAGTGAGATTTGATTAACAAATTGGTTTCGAATGGTTTAGAGAAATAATCATCCCGTAATCTTATCTGACAGTGATTTTATAAAGGAAACAGACGTTGGAGAGCATTTTTATGGTTCCATAAATTTGTGGAGGTAAACGTCCACGTGTGTGTTTGCTTCGTGGAAGGCAAATAAAATCTGCAATTTTATAATTTGTCCCCAAAGGCAAAAATAAAATTATTCACAAAATAAAAAAGAAGAGGTAAAACCGGATCTGAGAATTTTGAGGCTATAAACAATTTAAGAATAAATATTTTTTTTGTGATTTGGAGGCTGAAAAATTCGCAAATAACCAAAGAATAGGCGGATGTTTCATCAATTTGTCCCTAAATTCAGCTCTGAGAAGAGGGCGAAACATCTTTATTCAAACAGTGTTTCAGATTAAATGAAGTTTTATTGAGTTTATTAAAAAAAGAAGAAGAAGAAGATAAGGACAGAAATAAATTCAAATTTTGATTGGTCCAATTATCACTCTTCTTGTCGTGTTGCCAATTACATCTCAACTTTATTTTGTTTCATTTTCTGTCCTTTTGAAAAAGCAAGGACGAATCATTGGCCGATGATAGTACTGTGTACTGACTAGGAGCTTAAATATCCATCGTCTAAGTAGGTTAAGCATTTTAAGTGTGCGTTCAAGATGTTATTGAATCCGTATATAATTTTTTAATTAAAAAAATTATATAGGATCCTAGAAAAAAAGCCAAATGAATTGGTGCTAATGAAGAGGAGTCTCCTAGACACCCGGTGCTAAATGGCTGTTTTGTTTCTTTATTTCAGAATTAGCACCCAAAAAACATGTTTACCGGTGGATCTAACAAGTCAAATTTGTAATAAGAGCTGATAACATCGATGTTATATTTCAAAACTATATACACCAGAGCGGCAGAGCCATTGATATGTTTAAGATTTTCTGCTAGAAAACTAAATTCGGGACATTACTATATACACAGAAAGTCCAATGATGAATAAAATCAGCAGAATAGTTTGAGCTTATATAATCAGCAGAAATTCCAACGTTCATATAATCGGAGTTCTTTATACTTTTGTGAAACTGAAATACTACCAGACACATATTTACTCAAGATTTGATATAGCCGGAGCTTTTAAAATCTTCTTTTCACTAAAAAAGCAGGTTGTACATATTTAGCCTAATCGAATTAATATGACACCTGACAACTTTTTGATTTGCAATGGACCATTCCCTAGTAGACACATAATCTTAGGATCAACAGCTTTTCTTATGCTTCATTCGTTAAATTTCTTTCCATATACAAAACTTGTATAAGATTTTATTGTTGAGTTGATTCTTTTCGTTGGTTTATGAAAATTGGATATTTGTTTAAAAACATTTTTATCATGTTTACATCATCATTATGTTAATTACTGTAGCATAATATATAAAACTTAAATGCACCGTCCAAAAAAAACTATAATGCATGCAAGTCCATGGTTATTGACAAATGGGCGACATGTAAAAGAAGGTCAGTTACAAAAGTCTACATCACAATTCACAAGAGGTGAAGGCTATTACTGGACCTGGAATACACATGTTTAAGTTTAGAATCCATAAAATTCATTAGTGGGTTTTCTAACTGGGTTGTGATCTTCGCATGAATTATTGCATTTCGCTTTTCCACCAACACTTTTAAGTAAGATTCCATTCACTTTATGATTCTATTCATAGACAGCGAAATCCTAACAAGAGTTTTCCATATTTCAACTGTTGTGTCGGTGTTATCTTTTATTATTATTTTGGTATCATATCATTTAATATTTATACATGTAGAGCTTTATGAATTTCTATTTACAAAACGCTATTATATAGCATAATGACCAGTGTCCCAGTAATCATCAGACGGGTTTATAATGATCCATTTTTTTCTGTTAATTCGAAATGATCCATAAACATTCCATGGTATCATGATGATGGTGGCCTAATGAAAATTGAAAATAGTAGTTCGAATAAAAAAAAAAACTGTGGTCATTCCAAATTAATTACTATGCAGAAATTTAAAATAACATTAGCTTTGTAAATTATTAAATTGGATTATATATAAATTGTAAACAAGTCAAAATTCTAATATGTATATAAAAAAAACTTGGTAGCCAAAAAATTAAAAAAACCACCATTAAAAAAAAACTATCTGGCCCTATGAAAACAAATTAATGACCCGAATCTTGAATTTGCTTAATCCGTTTGTGTTCCGGATCAGATATGTATATACTGTAATAAAATCTATTTTGTTTCTTCTAAAGCAAAGGAACGCAGAACGTTCCATCGATTATAAGACCGCCTAGCATCCTAAGCTTCATCATTCGTAATATTGAACAGACTCTTCTCGTTCCCGTCTCCTCAGTGTGACCAACTCGGCAGTAGCCTCAGGTCTGGTCCTCCTTCATCGGAGACACACCTCGTCACATGGTTCAAAGGAGAGTTCTTACAACGTTTATATTGTATTCCACTCCGAATATGAACAAAACTCTTCTATTTTTATTCTTCTTGTGAACTAAGATTTAACACTCTTCTATCTCAAGGTTGCAGCAACATGACGTTAACGTATTTGTTGTGGATAGCAAAAAAAAAAGGAACGCGACCCCATCCACATCTTATCCGACAACAAGCCCAAATAGTAACATAATGTTATCTACACATTGATACCAATCTGGGCCTTAATTTACGGCTTATATAAATGTCCACTGGGGCATGGTATAAACAGTACAAACTTCTGTCGCAATTTCCATCTCAAATTCTTCATACCCTATCCGATATTGTAAACTAAAACAATGACTCATCTTGTAACCTTTTTCCGACGGAAGTAAACAAAACAGCCAGAAATTCGACTGTGGTTCCAATTTAAACTCTTAACTGTTTGGGCCTAATGGCATCTTGAGTTGACCAACATAGAAAGACTTCATCAATTGGGATAAATATCTTCAACAGATAAACCCTAAGGCACACCAGTTGAACCATTTGTTGTAGTCTTACGAATGATGATAATTAAACAACTTCCAGCAATGATGCAACTTCCGACGACTTTCACCTAACGCCAAATAAGTTTAATAACAAAATGTACAATTAAACTGTTTTGTTTTATCATTTATGATTATTGTTATTACAATTATGATAATGAAGAGAAACCCTAGCTGATAAAGTTATATTGATTTTTTTTATATACTTTTTCCGTCTAGTTTCATATACCGACAAATTTGTTAAAAACTAATTTTCGCCCACTAATAAAGGCATCTTCGTTATATGTTCAACAATACTAATATGTGGAAATGATTGTGTCAACGGTGTACAAACAAAACTCTCAATTAATTTTTGTTTATTTGTTTTGTATAGAATTTTTTTGACATAACAATTTTGTTGTTTGAAATATTTAAATCTGTTTACAACAAATTTTTTTTTAAAAAAAAATTTTGAGAGTATATTGTCGACTTCCACCTTATAAATATATCCAGATAATACTTTCCTGTTACTTTCCTTAATAAGAAAATGGTAAAATCACGAATGAAAATAAAAACTATATAGTTTCTTTTTGGGGGTCAAAAACACTATTTAGTTTTAAAATATTGTGCCTGCATATTTTCTTTTATAACATGAAATTTATAAATCTGTTAATTTTACAATGACCCAGAAAATATTCATATACTGTACCTGAAAAAAATTAATTGCACATTATTTTTCCTAATTAACTATACAAATCTTTATAAGTATGAAAAAAGCATTCGCTGAACCCACAATATTTTCACTAATATAGTCACTTTAAAAAGAAGGCAATAACTATATATATATATATAGATATGGAGCTTTCTTTGTGGGGAAACTCTGATTTTGTCCGCCACACAACTGACCAAAATCAATAAAATAATGTCATTTGATTTAATACATTGTAGGAATCAATTGGGGCATGAAGGGACATTAAGCAATTATAAAAAGGGCGTTGAATACAAACAACGAGTTCTAAAATGCACTCATCTCATGCACCATATGACGCTTTAGTGATGACATCTTTAGGGTTTAGTGGCTCACTGGCTCATCGACAAATTTTGTATTTCAGATGTTCTTAGCTTTCCATTATTAAAGGTCGCATTGGTTCCAAAAAGAAAAGGGGAAGAAAAATAGAAATATAGAGGTGGAATTGGGAAATCCCGAAATTTAACTAAAGTTAGAGTTAACATTTGGAAGTCCCTTGTTCAAAAAAAAAATTTGGAAGTCCCGAAAATTTAACTAAAATTTTTTTTACAAGAAAAAAAAAATTAACGATATAAAACTAAATATATATTTAGTCACCTATGAATATATTAACTCTAACTTTAGTTAATATTTGTTATCCTCGAAGCAGATGGCTAAAAATATATTTGATATATTTACTCATGAGTGATGATTACACACTGCATCAGTAATACTATATAAATTTTTTTGACATGAATATCTATGTGGCGGAAAATTAATTCAATTTAGATGGTTTCAGAATTAAAGTCCACAAAGGGTGTCTCACAATGTTAATAAGTAGAGGCAGAGCCACGAGTATAGACAGATCTAAACTACATGTTTGTCTGTGCCAGATCAAAATATTAAAGATTACTTTT